TGAAATTAGGTTAAAGGTGTGTGAAAGAAAGTAATAGAAGTGGAAAGAAATTGCAATTGAGTATATTGGAAGTCTAACACAAAGGTGGGGTGAGGGGTGAAGATGGGACACATGGTTTTGTATGCCTGCATATGACCTTCTCTCTTTTTCCCACCCCCTCCTGTTACATACTGATTAATATAATCTTTAAACTAATTTCATGCAAGATTACCAAGCTGTGTGGAATTTTGGAAATGTGCTAGTCATTAATTGTGTCAGTAAAGGCTGGTGTTTAGTGTGGGAATGAAAGGCACAAGAATTCCACAGCTTTCATCTGTTCTGTGGTTCAGTCTTCAGAAAGAGGGAAACCTGAATCTCTTTGGGTTCAAGATCCACCTGTCATAGATTCGTTGTGCAATGCTGGGCAAGGTATACATTCTGCTCTTCAGTTTCCCTGTCTGTAAACAGGGAGCATCCTCGCCTACCTGTGCAGTTTGTAGGAAGAATGAACACTAAGGGCACTTCCAGGCTGTTACTATTTTGGGGTGGGATTCAATCACATACCAGCAAATGCAGGGTGATCTGGAGTTGCTCCACAACAATCCCAAAATCCCCCCATTGGACATTTTGTGACAAGGAAACATTTGCTTGATGTAATATTGTCTAACCTCCCTGCAAACAAATGCTCAATACAGGGGCATCTTACCCATAGAGGCTAGTGGTGTGGGGCACCAAGTTCTGGAGGGCGCTAGGGAAGAGGCGGAGGCTGGACCTCCCGGCATCAGCTCGCCACTCTTGCCCGCCTCTGCCATGCCAAAGCAGCGTCGCACCCGGAGCCTTCATCTGCCATCTGCACGAAGCCACCAGCTGAGCCGGGAGGCGCCGCGTCCAGCCTCCGCCTCTTCCCCGCCGGGGGAGCCATCCTCCAGCTGCTGCCCGCCTCCTTCAGCCCCACTGGCAGCACTGTCCTCCCTAAAAAACTCTGGGAAAATGGGGGGGGCACCAGAGGGAGCTTTGCACCATGGTGCCGGATATGCTTAAGACGGCCCTGGCTCAATACATAGCTTATGTTCGCATTACTACCTTTGTTGTTGTTTAGTCGTTTAGTCGTGTCCGCCTCTTTGTGACCCCATGGACTAGAGCACGCCAGGCACTTCTGTCTTCCACTGCCTCCCGCAGTTTGGTCAAACTCATGCTGGTAGCTTCGATAACACTGTCCAACCATCTTGTCCTCTGTCGTCCCCTTTTCTTTCTGTCCTCAATCTTTCCCAACATTAGGGTCTTTTCCAGGGAGTCTTCTCTTCTCATGAGGTGGCCAAAGTATTGCAGCCTCAGCTTCAGGATCTGCCCTTCCAGTGAGCACTCAGAGATGAATTCCTTATGAATGGATTGGTTTGATCTTCTTGCAATCCATGGGACTCTCAAGAGTCTCCTCCAGCACCATAATTCAAAAGCATCAATTCTTTGGCGATCAGCCTTCTTTATGGTCCAGCTCTCACTTCCATTCATCACTACTGGGAAAACCATAGCTTTAACTATACAGACCTTTGTCGGCAAGGTGATGTCTCTGCTTTTTAAGATGTTGTCTAGGTTTGTCATTGCTTTTCTCCCAAGAAGCAGGCGTCTTTTAATTTCGTGGCTGCTGTCACCATCTGCAGTGATCATGAAGCCCAAGAAAGCAAAATCTCTCACTGCCTCCATTTCTTCCCCTTCTACTTGCCAGGAGGTGATGGGACCGGTCACCATGATCTTAGTTTTTTTGATGTTGAGACCATATTTTGTGCTCTCCTCTTTCACCCTCATTAAGAGGTTCTTTAATTCCTCCTCACTTTCTGCCATCCATGAAGGAGATTACTACATTAGAGTGAAGTAAAGGAGTTCCCCCCACATTTCATAGCTCTTTCCACTAGCTTTGTACACAACCAGGGGGCACTGTCTGGTAAGGGATAGTTTTACCCCATGCAAGGTGTTCATACCTTGGCTAGAGCCAAATTAGGAATGGCATAAGGACTCCATTTGGTGTGAAGCTGGTTTGAGAAACAACACATCAAATGGTAGCATCTTCTAAACAAAGTATTGTTATTTATTTATTTATTGTATTTATATCCTGCCTTTCTTCCAAGCTGGGATTTTCCCAAGTACAGGATACATATACATTTTGCCTAATGTCATGTCAACACAGATTAAAAACCCAGCACTGGAAACAAAGCAAGTGACCAGCAAGCAGGAGTGTGAACACAGCTGATTTGGTCTAATGTCCCTGTAAACTTTGTGCAAACAAAACAGAATGGAATGCTTAATAAGTAGGTTGTCTAGAAGTGATCTAAGTATTATAAAGCACTTTGCTCCCTCATCTTTTCTAATTGCATAGAATTTCAGCAGATGCAGCTTCTCCTACAGCAACAGCAATATGAGAAAAGATGTTCAAGAGTCCTTTCCATCTAACTTAACTCTTATTTTTCATTGATTTGTATCTCATTCGTCCTCCAAAAGATCCCATGGCTTACAGCTTCACCCAGGGAACTTTTCTGCACCTTTTACACTGGGAGTGGAACCAGTATGTTGACCAGTACTCTAGAATAAATTGTTTCTACTCCCTACACAATATTTTACAGTCTTACCAGCATCATTTCTTTTTCTGGAAAGCTTTTGGGTAATCCCTTTAGTCCCTATAATTTACTCTAAGCCAAATTGAAATAGCCACACATTCTTCCCCTTCCCCCATTCTCTCTCTTTTCCCTGGGTCTATTTCAGATAGCAAAGAGGGGTATGGTACCTCTCATATCTGTTTTTTGCAAAGCACCACGTGCATAGAGGGCATTATACAAATTAATACATAGGAAAGTGTCTGTCCCTGCCTGCAGTTCAACTCCCTCTCTTTTTACTAACAGCACATATCCATTCCTCCTGCTGGTGCAACTTTCTCATCATTTCTACATAGCAGCATTTATAAACCAGTGCCAGAGAAACTGGGTGAAAGGAAGGTGAGAGGAATACGAATATTTTTGTGTGTATATGTATACATACATACACCTACACAATTAGAGGTTTGAAGCCAACTTTAAATAAAAAGAGCTGGTAAGCAAAGAAATCTGTGGTGTTTTCCATGGGATCCGGGGACATGTCAGCTAATACTCTTCCCTTTCTTCTTCATTTGCTTGTCTCTGCAGCAAATCTCAAGGGGGAAGGGAGAAGGGCAGGAATTGCATAGGCACGAGAGAGCAGGGAAATCCCGCATGCAGGATTTTGGTGCCTAACAACCCTCCCTCCCTCCCTCTGCAATTGCTCTCGCGCTCCCCCGCCTCTCTCTGAGGCCGAGATGCTGCATCACGGCACCTGCTGGCTACCTCTGTTCCATTATTGGGAAGGAAGGAAGCTCATGTGCCCTGTTTGCCTGTATTTTGCAGGGCGCTGCTGTAGCTTTGGAGTTCATTACATACCAGCATCTCTCTCTCTCTTCCCCTCCTCCCTCTCTCACAGAGCGGCCCACCCATGAGGCAAGGTGAGGCGGCTGCCTCGGGTGGCAGGATCCACAGGGGCAGCAGATCCCGATGTAGCTCTTTATTCAGGGCTGGCCCATCCATGAGGCAAAATGAGGCCACCACCTTGGGTACCAGCATCCACAGAAGCAGCAGGTCCCGATGATGTAGCTCTTTATTTGGGGCCGGCCCAGCCATGAGGCAAGGTGAGGCAGCCCACTCAGGCAGCAGGATCCACAGGGGCAGCAGGTCCCCATGATGAAGCTCTTTATTCAGGGCTGGCCCATCCATGAGGCAAAGCGAGGCCACCACCTTGGGTACCAGCATCCACAGGAGCAGCAGGTCCCGATGATGTAGCTCTTTATTTGGGGCCAGCCCAGCCATGAGGCAAGGTGAGGCAGCCCACTCAGGCGGCAGGATCCACAGGGGCAGCAGACCCCGATGATGTGGCTCTTTATTTAGGGCCGGCCCACCCATGAGGCAATCTGAAGCTGCTGCCTCAGGCGGCAGGATCCACAGGAACAGCAGCAGCAGGAGGACCCCCCTCCTCGTGAGGCAGCCCACTCAGACAGGAAGATCCACTGGGGCAGCTGACCCTGATGATGCCCTCTTTATTTAGCGCCAGCCCACCCATGAGGCAATATGAAGCTGCTGCCTCAGGTGGCAGGATCCACAAGGGCAGCAGACCCCAATGATGTGGCTCTTTATTTAGGGCCGGCCCACCCATGAGGCAATCTGAAGCTGCTGCCTCAGGCGGCAGGATCCACAGGAACAGCAGCAGCAGGAGGACCCCCCTCCTCGTGAGGCAGCCCACTCAGACAGGAAGATCCACTGGGGCAGCTGACCCTGATGATGCCCTCTTTATTTAGCGCCAGCCCACCCATGAGGCAATATGAAGCTGCTGCCTCAGGTGGCAGGATCCACAAGGGCAGCAGACCCCAATGATGTGGCTCTTTATTTAGGGCCGGCCCACCCATGAGGCAATCTGAAGCTGCTGCCTCAGGCGGCAGGATCCACAGGAACAGCAGCAGCAGGAGGACCCCCCTCCTCGTGAGGCAGCCCACTCAGACAGGAAGATCCACTGGGGCAGCTGACCCTGATGATGCCCTCTTTATTTAGCGCCAGCCCACCCATGAGGCAATATGAAGCTGCTGCCTCAGGCGGCAGGATCCACAGGGGCAGCGGCAGCAGCAGGAGGACCCCCCTCCTCGTCACTGACGTAATTCACCCCTTCCTCCCTGACAGGGAGGGCGGGCCCATTTTGAGGTTCACCTCAGGTGCTCTCCCTCAACTCGGGCGGCCGCTCAGAAGCAAGGCACGGAAAAGGATCCCGAAGCACCACCGCCACCCTCTCTCTCTCACACACACAAAAACCCCGCCCCGCCATTTCCCTCGAGCGCGCGCGCGCCCCCTCTCCCCCTCGCCTCAGGTGCCTCGCGCGCGGGGCTGAGGAGAGCGTGGCCTGGGTGGGCGGCTCTCGACGTCACGCGGCGCGGCGGCGCGCTGGCGGGCGGGCGGGCTGCCGCGCCGGCGAGAGGGAGCGCGCCTGCGTGTGGACGCGCCTGCGTGTGGCAGGTGCCGGCGGTGGCAGTGGCAGCGGCAGCCGCGTCCACCTGAGGGGAGAGCCGCCGCTGCGCCCTGGCGCGCCTTCCCGCCGCCGCCGCCCTCCTCCTCCTCCTCCTCCTCCTCCTCTTCTTCCTCGCTCCCTGCACCATGAGGGAAGAGGCGCCGCCGTGAGCTGCTCGGCCGCTTCCTAACACCGTCCTCCAGGCGAGGCGTCCCCCTCGCCGCCGCCGCCCGTCCTACCCCGGGGGAAGCTATGAGCCATGAAGCCGCCTGGCAGAACTTCCCTCCGGCGGCAGAAGCAGCAGCAGCCGCCCTTCTCCGGCCGCCGCCGCCTCTCGAGCTCCGCCGCCGCCGCCTTGCTTTGCCCGGCTGGGCTGCCCAGCTCCATCCCCCTCCTCTTTCTGGCGCTCCTGCTTTTCTGCTCAGGGTCCCCCAGGATCTGCGGGGTCGCTGCGGACGCCGGTGAGTGCCCGCTTAAGGGTGGGGGGGGGAGAGATCCTGGAGGGATCCTGTACTGTGCGCGGGAGCTTGGACAGATCCTGGATCTCCGTTACACGCGCAGCCCTTCGTTTGCTCTCTCTTTTGCGCGCTCGTGTGTGGTGCCAATGCGCTAAGAAATAAACGAGGGTGGGGGGCTCTCTTTTTGGGGGGTGGGGGTGGGCATGTGGTGCCAATGAACCTCGGAGCCTGTTTTAGTCTGCATCTCCCACCGCCCTGGCTTTTTAATGCTGGTTAATAACAGACCTGGGGAGGGGAACCAGAAAAAAAAGGGGGGGGGAAAGAAAAATCACATTTTTGCCGTGCGGAGCCCGCTTGAGTCTTCGTGACATCCGGCCAGAAGTTCTTGTTCGGCACCGTCCGCACAGATTTGTTTCGGTCTTGACGCAGTTCCTTACCTCCATCCATGGCATCCTGCCTGGTCTTCGGTAGGAATAATTGATCGTGACTGCAGCCGGATTCCTCCTCGGATCGCTCCCCCCCCCCCCACGTCTAGATCACATATGTGTGTGTGTGTCTGTCTGTCTTTGCGAATATGAAATTGTATTTACATGGCAGACCTGTGTATTTACTGTGTGACGGCGACTGGTGCTTACTGGTTTATAAGGATGGGCATGAAATGGTTTCGGGAGCCTCTGATGCAGCAAAACGCTGCTGGCAGGCTTTCAAGGGTGCTGTTTTTGTGCAGGGTCTTAACGCAAAATAGAACAAGACAAGCAGGATAATAAGGGTTTTGGATACTGCCCGTTCTTGCACTGCTCATCCGAGGGAACCTACCTTTTGCAAACAGAAGGGGGGTTGCAGTGTTCTTCAAGAACCCTGGGGTTTTGTCTGCAAAGAGATATGTGGTTGTTACTTATCCCATGAAGCATGTTTATACGGGAGCTTATTGAGACTTTCTCTCTGGTAAGTGTGCTTAGGAGTCCATCGCTAAAGTTAAAGGAATAGTGAAAAGTTGCCCTTATGTAAAGGGAATTGATTAACATTCAGTACACATGGGTTCATGGCTTGAGTTGCTTGCAGTAGAATCACTGATTTGTACATAGCCAAATTTATGTGGAAAAGTGGCAGAAATAGGGTCATGAATGGCTGGATTGTCCTTAAAAGAACTTGTTTCAAGGGTTCAGATCCCTGCATTTTGAATTTCATGATGCAAAACTATATAAAATCAAATAAGGAATTATATGTACAAATAAGTACAAAATCTAATCAAATAAATTGGTTTCATGAGGGTTACTGTATATTTTTTGTAGCAAATTAGCAAGATGCAAAACATATTACAAAAAGTGTTCTGTTCCTCTGTGAATTCATGGTAGGTTTGTCTGTCTTCCCCAGCTCTGCATTGGAATGAAACTGCAGAAGAACTAGAAAAAAGCCAGGCAGATGAAGATACTGCATTTCAACAGACTAACAGCAGTAGCTACAAAAATAACAGTCGAAGCAGTGCATTCCAGAAAGAAATCACATTGCCTTCAAGACTTGTATATTATCTCAATAGAGACTCTGAAAGTCCTTATCATGTCTTGGATACAAGGACAAGGCACCAGCAAAAACACAATAAGGTAAGGTGTTTTTTTAAAAAATAAATAAAAGCAATACAGTACTGCGACTCAAAATAGTCATGTCTCTTGAGAGATTGTCTTACTTTAAGAATGTTTATTCAGCATGTCTGTAATGCTTCAGAATTCACTGCACAGTTCTTGGGTCTGAAAGATGCGTCAGTCCAAAAATAGGGTTCAAATACCAAGAGACCTTGCAGGTAACAATACCCTTGTCAAATTTCAAGGATTATTACTGCTACCACAGAACAAAACTTGAAGTTCAAACCATGGTTTACTTGTTTCTTTAGAGGCCTAAAATATTTCCCCCTCCATCCAGCTTACCTGATTGAGAAAAATAGAATCACATTGGTAGAATGACTATGTAATCTTTCTGTGTCACAGACACAGGGGACCCCAGAGAATTACAGTTTTAATTTCTTTATCTTAAACAGGAAGCCATTTTTAAAGCAAAGCACAAAAGGCAAGATTCAACTGTGATGCCAGCGGTTGTGACAGGACTTCTTATCCTCCCCGCTGCAGCCCCCTGCACCTGCCCCCCAGTCTGCTCTGGAGTTCCATTTAACCTTCTGGAGCAGATTTGGAGGCATGGGGGTCTGCAGGGGGAGATGAGGAAAGATAAGCCCTGTTCCAACAAGTGGGAGTCCATTGTGCAAGTAGATACCACAACTGTGTATCACTCACAGGTCTTGATACAGCTAAAATTGGTCATGGCTATGTGCTTTTGAAAACAATGGCACTAAAGGTGATAGCAATCAACTTGTTCTATTGATTTCAATGGGAATTAATTGTAGCTAGCTGTAGCTCAGTCAGGTCATGGTGTTCAGAAGCACATTACAAAATAAATGAATGACCCTTCTGTTTGCTGACAGTAATGTACAAGTTGGATTTAAGTCTGTCAGTTTCATCTGTTATGTATTACAACCTTATGCCCTCAATTAAGCTGTGCTTTTCCCAACGTGTCCATAAGAAATGGACCCAGATATGAGTTTATCCAGCTACAGGGTCTATCTGATAGAGTGTGTGTTGCAACCCATTTATGAATAGAATTCAGTTCCAGTACTGCTTTGGCAGACTTGGGTAGCTCAGATGGACTGACATTACAAAGGAACTTTTCAAGAAGAACCCTAACGTGGGAGGGAAGAAACCAAAATAGTCTCATAAGAATTAAATGTCATAGAGTGTTGAAAGACTTAACTGGGAAAATGCTGTCAACTGCATGGGAGGGAGAATGGAATCCAGCAACTTGAAAGGGAAAAGACAAGAATGGAATCAGTCATCTCATAGGCCATTTCCTGGTTCACACATTGATTTAAAATGTCACCACAGAAGACAGATCTGTCCATAGGCATGAGTGAAGAAATTGAAGATTCCAATGTACTTGATACTGGGCAACAGCGTTTCCACTGCTAAGGATCACAAAATGGTGGAGCAAAGCACAAGATGGAAACAGCCAGTGAACCCCCAAACACCCCAATGAGGACTGAGCATGTTCAGTGCAGGATGGTGACTGGCCAAGGGGGAGTGGAAGGCAGTGGCTGGAAACCTTAACAGGAGCATTCCACACTGCAACCTGTTTCAGGGGCATGCTTCTCATATTTGCCACCTTGCCAATAGACACCTATTTTTGTGCTTTCTAATTGCAGGTGTGCTATAAGATTGACATCATTCAATCTTTTTCTCTGAGGGACAGGGGAGAGCCAATTACCTGCATTCTAATATAGGATGCTTCTTGGGTACAGTGGTACCTCAGGATACATACGTTTCAGGTTACATACGCTTCAAGTTACAGACTCTGCTTACCCAGAAATAGTGCTTCAGGTTAAGAACTTTGCTTCAGGATGAAAACAGAAATCGTGCTCCAGCGGCGCGGCGGCAGCAGCAGGAGGCCCCATTAGCTAAAGTGGTGCTTCAGGTTAAGAACAGTTTCAAGTTAAGAACAGACCTCCGGAATGAATTAAGTACTTAACCCAAGGTACCACTGTATTTATTAATAGCATTATTTCAAGTTAAAGAGTAGCGCTTCCTCTCACTATTAGTAGTTTTGTGTTACTGGAACCAAAGGGTTGCATGGTAAGCCTGAAGTCTTTGGGCTATAGCCAATGCTAATCCTACTCAGGGAAGACCTAGTCAAATTAATGAATCTAAGTTAGTCATGCCCATTAATTAACCTCATTGGGTCTTCTCTGAGTTGAACAAGCACTGGGTACAACTCTTTGTATCACGTGTCAGATCACTTCTGAAACTTAGGAGATCTTTGACATCCACTTCAGACTTAGATCTTTGATTTTTAAATTAAGGCCACTTCTATAGCATTAACTCCTAAAATCTAACTATAATCACTTCCAAAATAATGGGAAATATTGGATTATGGTAAATATTAAAAATAATCAATTGTGGCAATACATGACTGAGATTCAGAAGGGCCTGGCCTTGTGCACCAACACTCCCTTGGATGTTCTAGAGGCAGTCAATTAAAATGGCTAGTTTCCTTCAGAAAAAAGATAATGTTTTCAGCCATACTTGTTTCATTTGCACAAGTGTTCCAGACTGCCAGATGGAACGATCCCCCCACTGTCCTCTTTGCACTGTTCTGGGCATTCTCCTGACCTCTCCTAGGCCTCTTTGGGTGCTCAGGGCTTCCGGCTTGGTAGGTGAATCCTGCACAATATATACCAGTGATATACACTCATGATTTGAGTGTGGATCCTTTGGCAGCCAAAACAGCACTATCTGTGCACAGGTGAAAAGTAGCAGAAGGCTTGGGAGAACTCCATGGTTTAGAGAAGTACCAAAATATTTAAAAGACACTCTTAAGGGTTGTGGGGACTCCAAAAAGGCTTATCGAGGGCTGAGCGTGCTCAGTGGGCACAGGGTGCTGGCCGGCTGTTAGAGTGCAGGGAACAAAATGGGAGGGGTAAGAGAGAACAGAATGGAATATGCTAGAAAAAGGGCATGGCTAGGATCCAAAACAAGAGCTCTCTATACTGCATCATTTTGTTGGAGTTTCCACATGTCAGGTTCAGAGTTCACCTTGCATGAGGGTCTCTGGACAGCTTTAGGCTAGTTAATGGTCTGATCTAGTCTGCAAGGTTGTTGGGAGAAAATGAAAAGTCCATGTATGTAATCTTGAGCTTCAGGGAGGGCAGATTTCAAGACTGATGAATACGTGAATATCTATATGTGGAGCAGGATTAATGTGGCTTTGCTGAATTAATTATACACCAAGGTTGGCATAACTGAAAGATAAAGGCCACAGCAATCTGGAGCCGAGTGAGTGATTCAGCAAAAGGAGCTGACAGAGAAAAGAGAAAAATAGCTCTAAATATCTGAGATTCTGAGATGAAAGACTTTGGTTAATGCAATAGTTACACAGAACCGTGTGTGCAAATCTTGTTTGACATAGGCCTCTTGTCAGCTGGTTCATTGTGAAACATGCTTTATTCCTCCTAGGGGGTGGTACATATATAGAGACTCCTAAAACACACATGCTTTGGCAGTGGCCGAGATATAGATATGGATGATTTGGAACCTTATCTTTAGATCTCAACTAATTGCGAATGTCACCATACTTTGTACCCCTCAGTCCCTTCTTCTGTGGGTGTCAACACTTCAATAAGCTCTCTAGTCCTTATGAATCATGCACATAGTCTTGCAGGCTGCTTACCTCTGCTTGACTGTAGCTATGCATGTGTCAAGACACCAACCATGAACAACAGCATAGTCTCTGACTCAGGGGGTGGGGGGAAGAGCCAGCCAGATTAGAAGGACTGCAGAGGTGCTATAATGAAATCTCAACAACAAGCCTGAACTGGAGCAAGTTGGCCAGGACTACCCTTGAACTGAGACCCCCAGAGGCAATGCTTCTTTTGCCAGGTTTTGCTGATAGATCAGCCACCTCTTTGCCCTGGACTTGACCCTCCCTAGTGCTTGCTTGTTTTTTGCGGGTCATGCACCAGATGGAGTAAACCGAGAGGTGGCCGAGTGTTAGGCTCAAACCAGAAGTCTCTTCCTCTAAGGATTTTCACTCCTCAGGAACAGGATAGAGCATTGGACGCAGGAGTAGGGATGCTTGAGGAATTTCATTTCTGTGAATTCCAGTATGAAATAATCTGATCTGTGCCTCCTGAATGAAAGTGTGGATCATAATGTAATTATGCTATTCTTTGCATTTGGCACTTCTCTGAATTTTAGCGATAGTTTTTAGCTCAAAAATAATTCAAAATAAGTTCTAAAATATGTATTTTAGGATAAAATACGTTTAGAAATGCATACGCTGAAACTCAGAACACACAGATTAACAACAACAAATTAACGTAGAAACAAAACACAGAAAGACATTCATAATTGATGTGGATGGGAAATATAGTGATTTGTGCATCCCTACCTAGGAGTACATAAGGACTGAGATCGGCTCCACACATTGTTGGTGCAAGTTGCTAACTCAGAAATGCTTGAGTACCTGCTATCTGATTATTCTACACTGTTGCACCTTGCTGTGTCTTTTGAACTCATGATCAAGGCAGAAGAGTATGTGTCTTCATAGAGGCTGCATACATAGGACTAGGGAACTGTAGGGCTGTTTGGATCTGGTGATACAGTGGTACCTCGGGTTACATATGCTTCAGGTTACAGACTCCACTAACCTAGAAATAATACCTCAGTTTAAGAACTTGGCTTCAGGATGAGAACAGAAATCGCGCGGCGGCGGCGCAGCAGAAGTGGGAGGCCCCATTAGCTAAAGTGGTGCTTCAGGTTAAGAACAGTTTCAGGTTAAGAATGGACCTCCGGAACGAATTAAGTGCGTGATTAGAGGTACCACTGTAGTTTAAACAGTGAGGTAGGAGCCTTCATAGTGCCCAAATGTACTCAAGACAGCTTATCAAATACAAATCTAAATTACATAACAAGTTAAAATCGACACAAACATGAAATCAAATAGCAGTATAACAACATCATATAAATATATCAGGAACAAGCAAATAAAATAAATTATCATAGCTGGTAGGTGAAAGGGCAATTAAAACATGATGAAAGCCATATCAACAATAGAAAATGAAATAGATATTGGAGGTTCTGACTAAAAAATGCCAGAGTAGAATGATCTTCAAAGTCTGCTGAAAAGCTGGCAAGGAGGAGGCCAGAGAGATTTCTTTTGGGAGGCTATTTCATAGCTTAGGCTCCACAACTGAAAAGGCCCCTTTTCATGGTCTATCTACACTTCCTTTGGCAAAGGGACGATGAGAAAACCTTAAGAAACTGAAGACGAATTTCCAATAGGTTCATATGGGAGGAGGCAATTTGTATTTCCTGGTTCTGAGCCAGAAAACTAGCTGGAAGTTGGAACAAAATTGACCTAATATAGTTTGGCATACCAGCTCCAGAAATTAGGTTAGTCACAGCATTCTGAACAAGCTTTCCTTAGGAAATCCCTCATTTTTTTGTATGTAGTTGGTAAAAAGCACTCCAGTGTTGTCAACTGTGCACGACACATCCAGGATTACCTTGATTCTGCAGACCTGTTGCTTCAGGGGCTGTGCAACACTATCTGGAACAGGCTGAGCACCGCTTTCAGTATAATCAGTACCATCAATTAGTAGTACTTCCATCTTGTCTGGATTAAATCTCCATTTGTTCACCCACCAATTTCAGTACTCCCAGCAGACAAAATTTACAATTTCACTGCCTCCCCAGGACTGGGTGATGAAAATGAAAGACTGAGCTGAGTACTGTATTATCAGTAAACTGATGACACCTCAGACCAAATCTCTGGGTGACTTTTCCCAGCGGTCTCAGATAATAAGAATGTGGCTAGTAATCTTCTAAATTGCACCATGCCAAAGGGACCAAGGGGTAGCAAGATTGCATTGCATCTTGTTTACATAGGTAAGATTGCTTCAAAGATAGCTTGAGAAAGTATCAGGAAACCAAGCTAAAACAGCTACATATCATTTCATGTCATTTTTATTTATTAATTACAATCAGAACATTCTTCACAGTACTGTTAGTTGCGGTTGGTTCCCATGTGCATTATATCTTTGCCTCAAGAAAGATAAAAGGAAAGGAAAATAAAGGAATTCCAACATTGTAAAGGTGGGGGGACAGGGGGAAATGAGTTATATAGTTAATAAGCTATTACTTAAGGTAGCATTGTTAGTCTTTTCAGAATTGACAGTGTATTCTTTGAAGCAATTTTAAGGGAAATAAAGCTATTATATTCACATTAATATATTGTTGTTGTTTAGTCGTGTGACCCCCATGGACCAGAGCTCGCCAGGCACTCCTGTCTTCCACTGTCTCACACAGTTTGGTCAAACTCATGTTAGCTGTGCTCTGGCTAGGGGTTATATATGCACATGGAAGCAGAGTCCCTAGCTAGATGGCAAACTGTGTATTCAAACTAGTGCTTTACATGTAGTTCCAGTCCTCTCCTAGATCCAACCGCTGGGGCTGTCTGCATGTGTGATGGCACATCTCAGTTTTAGGAGATGGGAGCAGGCTGGACCTTTCAAAAGGGCTTTGCATGTGCAGTTCCAGCTGCTGTGTAAATACATAGTTGGATTACAGTCAGTGATGATTATTTTTGGCTATAGCAGTTGGAATGCCTGTAGTGAGAGTATTAAGCGCCCTGAATGTTAAGAAGGCTAATAGTCTTCATTGGGTATGCCACAACCTCAGATAAACAAAGAAGTTATCTTGCTTTGCTTACAAACTCTGTTGATTGTTTTAATAGGATTGCCGGTTCAACATAAGCAGCAAACTACTGTAGAATAATGAATTATTTAAAAAGGGATTCTGAAACAATTAAGGGCTAAAAGAAGGCTTTGCCACATTAACTGCATAGTTACCTTTTCAAAAATGCTGTCAAATTCATCATATGGGAAGGATGAACTATAAAAAAAATCTTAATGGTAGGGTGGACTATAACTGTGTATTTCATAGGAAGAGGACGTACAGTAGTGGCATGTAATTTCTTGGGGGCTCATGCTAGTTACACAGCCAGAGTATTTGAAATCATTTTGTCACCATGAAACTTCTAGAGCTGTAATTTTTAGGTACTTTTGTTTATTTATTTACATACTTACTACAAAGTTTATATGCTACTGTTTAGCTAGTAAGGCAGGGGTCCCCAACATTGTGGGGTCTGTGGGCACAATTGCTCACCAGACAAACTGGCGGGTACCCCATCTCCACAACCTGCTCTTTTGGCTACAACAGAATGCGTCTTTCAAGCTTTATTTTAGTGGGGATGGGGAAAGCACCTGGAAGAGATCAAGGTATGGATTCAGGACCACAGGTAATGTTCCTGCCGTAGAAGCCAGTCATCCAAGTTGTCTCTGCAAGGTCCTGGAGCAAATAGCTAAGTTTTATAACAGGGCTGGGTATATATTGCCTGGGGGCCTGACCTTGGGTACTGCTTCTTGGCTAGTTAAAAGGCTGGTGCCTTCTTCAGCCACTGTTGGTTCATTCAGATTACTTGGGGATCTAGCTGTGAAGAACGCTCCTCAGTTCTGTTGATTCCCCAAGATGTTTGTGGACCAGCCATGAGAGTCTGGCAGCAGGGGTATCTCTCCAGGGTTCTGGGAGAGGAAGTGGGCCCCAGTGTCCTTGGACCCACACAGAATGGCCCAGGGCCTGGATCTAGCTCCTTCAAAGAACTTCAGTTTGCTGAAGGACACTGCATCTGAAAAGTCCTGGTTCTAACCTTGGCTCCCCCTTAATCCTTGTTTCAGACTTTCATGCCAAGCTTGTCTTCTTCCTCTGACAACACCCCCAACTTCTCATTGATTGCCGTCAACATTAATAGTTATACTTGTCAAATATTTCAAGGAGGAGACTATGTAGATGGCAGCCAACTCCGTTTGTATTTCATTTTGACGTTATATTGAGTTTTCAGCCATTTGAATTTGACTTCAGACCCACTTATGGGATGGAGGCAGGTTTGGATGCTCCGGTGAGTGATCTGTGCTGGGAACCAGGAAATGTAGAACTGTTGGTTCAGCTGGACATCTCAATGGATTTTGACACTATCAGCGATGGCATCCTCATGGATCACTTGCCTAGCATGGGACTTTGAGGCACCATTTTACAGTGGTTCTGGTGGTATGTGTTGGGGGACTTCTGTTGGATGTCTTGTTTCAGGGGTTCCTCCTCAGGTACCAGCCCTTCTAGGGGATCCCCAGCATTGAACTCAGCGGACCCAGCCTACTCTAATCCTGCCCTTAGGCTACAATCCTATCTCATTGAAACAAGTTGTGCATATTTCTGAGTATACATTTTATTTTATTTATTTATTAAATTTATGCACCATCCTATATACAACAATCTCAGGGCGGTTCACAATTTTTTATTTTTTTTTAAATGTCAAAATATTTAATGCATGTTGCACATGCCAGAAGTTTACAATTTTCATACAAAACACATCAAGCAGAGGAAGAATATAGTGCAAAGTGTCCATGGTTAGGATTCCACAGTTTGTGCTATGAATAATTCGGCAAACTAACAGAATAACTTTTGTGTGTTTCTCTCCTTCTCCCACTTCCCTCCTTGTCTTCAGGCTGTGCATCTGGCTCAGGCAAGTTTCCAGATTGAAGCCTTTGGATCTGAATTTATTCTTGACCTCTCCCTGAATAAGTAAGTGCATGTTTATGGTCATTTTTTTCTTCCTTTTGTATTATTAGCCTTGAGCTGTTTTAGTTTTAAGAAATGAGGGGGCTCTGCAGTCATTTCCTGAAATACTGTTTGATCATTGAAACCCTTTAAAAGAGGCAAAATGTGAGGATATGTCTGCCGAAGGCTACTAACCATGATGGCTCAGCTCTGCCTGAATACCAGCTGAATACCAGCTGCTGGAAACCACAGGAGAGGAGAGGGCTCTTGTTCTTTGGGTCCTCCTTGTGAGTTTCCCACAGGCATCTCCTTAGCCACTGTTGAGAGTAGAATGCTGGACTAGGTGGGCCATTGGCCTGAAACAGAAGGTTCTTCTTAGGTTCTTATGCTTACCTGTGCTAGGCTGCAAAGAAGTACATGTATTGTTTTTATCATTATATATTTATTTATCCCCTATCTTTTTCCCTGACAAGGACTCAAGGCGGCTTACAGATAAAATAAAAACAGAAAGAAACATAGAAGAAAACAATACAAATCATTAATAAACAATTAAACATTAATAGAATTAAAACTATGTAGACAATCACAACAAAAACAGCATGCCCCCTTGTTAAAAACAGTCAGTTCCCCAAAGCCTGTTGGAACAAGGCAGGAGGACAAGAAGTGGGGAGCCAGTCTAAATTATCTAGGGGAGGGAGTTCCAAAGTTGGGGAGCAGCCACCGAGGATGCCTTTTTCTGCATCCCTACCAAGTGTCCCTGTGAGGGTGGTGGGACTGAGAGAAGGGCCTCCCTCCAAAGATCTCAGAACCCATATGAGGGAATATGGTCTTTCACTTGGTTGGACCCAAGCTGTGTAGGTCATAACCGGCACTTGGAATTGTGCTCGGAAACAGACCGATAGCCAGTGGAGCTGTTATAACAAGGGAGTCACATGCTTCCTGTAACCATCCCTGGTCAACAATTTGGCTGCAGCCCTTTCAGAGAGTTGACGTTTCTGAGCAGTCCCATGTAGAGCGTGCTATAGTAATCCAAATGGGATGTAACTATGGGTTGTATCTGCAAACCCAGACCCAAGCCTGGCCATAGCATTCTGAACTTCAGGTGATTGCAACTTTTGGTAGTGACCATAACAAGGTAAGATCTGTGAAATGTTATGAGTCGGTTTAGAAGACTTCTAGCCCTCTCCACTCCTGCCCTTTTTCTGCCCTTGAACTCTCTCATGCTTCACTTACCTCTTGCCCATCACTCCTCCTCAGTATTGATTCAAAACCGGGCCTGAAAGCAGAATGAAGTGGGTCTAGATAATCTGCTTATTCGAAGCATATCTGCAGCTGGTTGACTGACACTCTTTCGATCACCTCGGCCATCAAGAGAATATTAGAGACTGAACAGTAGTTTTCTTAAATTGCTGGATCATGGCAGGAGGACATCCTCTTTCGAGGCCGTGGGTATAACTCCCTCCCATAGTGAGCCATTAACTGCTCCATCCAGTAAATCCCTTCCTGCTAGGTTTTATTAGTCATGATGGGACAGGATTAAAGGCGATTTATGAAAATAAATAAAACTGGAGAAAAAGTATAAGGAAATTAAATAATTTAAGTGCAGAGTGTGGCCCAGAAAAAAGGCATGGTCAGCTTCTATGGTCCTTACTTGACTATTTCAGCCATTTTAAGAGGGAATGCATCAGCACAAATATTTGTCAGCTGTACAGAAGCACCATTCTCTTACTGAAGTTCAGTTAAGATCTGTTTTTGATTATTTTGTTAGTAGCGTGACTGCTTTTGGAGCGAGAAAAGAATGTTTATGAAACTTACTGGATTTGCAACCGGTTAAATTATTTTAAAATGTGGACTCGCATATTAGCACATCTTTCACATACTGATAAATTTGTCTCGGGAATTGCGTTTTAGCTGAACTAGAAGTTATTTAGGTTCTAACACCTAACTTCTCTGTTCCATCATGGTCAGTGAAATGGCATTCAGAGTCATGCTTAGCATTATCTACTGTCACCATAAAAAATGTGTGCATTAGAAAGGTGCAAAGCAGGTGAAAAACAGGAGCTTTGCTGGATAAGAATTGCTTTACTCTAGAGATGGGGAAAGTCAGCAAATAAGCTGATAGGAAGAAATCAGAGGTAAGAAGGGCTTTTTAAGGTTCTTTTAAAGGAAATTGTGGAGGAAATTTAATGCACAAATGCACACTTTTTAAATTGTTGCAGGTCATTGTACAGTATTTATTTTCAAAAATTAGATAGGGCAATAATCTATCACACTAGCAGAATGGCGTTATGACCCGTTGAGAGTAGTTGGAGAGACACAATTTATACTGCAGGGAACACTCAGTGTTCATTTGCAGTGTTTCTTTGCACAGATGAATTGCCCCTCTTCCTTTAAGGATTCTTATCAGTTTTTTCAAGGGCAGGGAAGCTTTGCAACAGTGTCCTTTAGCTGCACTGCTGTGAAAATGTTTGTTATTTATTTGAAGCTATTTTATCCTATTGAGAAAAGGTTCTCAGAGCAGCTTGCAAGGACCTGAAGAAAGTCACATATAAAGTATGCATTTCAAGCAACATAATTGACAAGAAGCTGATATATTACCTTAATGACTTTAAAATAAAACATGACAAAGGAGGTAGAATGCACATTTAACGCAGCAAAATTAACAAAAAAATTCTTAGATTTCAAATGAAAACATTACTAAAGGAAGTCAAATAAAAAATGCACATTTAAAGCAGCATAGTTAGCAAGAGAATAAAATAAAATATCACAAGCATAGAACATATATGCTGCTGTTGCTGCCAATCCTGCCATTGGTGGTTTATGGTGAGTGGTGGCTGTGGAAGCTCAGGCTCAATGACCTCGGTCTGTACTAAGGGCTTATCCACACTTAGCTTTCCTCCATGCTTTTTTGGCAAGGTATGTGCTTTAACGCTCTGTGAGCACCCTTTTTTTGCCACAGAGCTTTCCCTGCATAAACCTGCTCTTTAAAGCTGAATTGGAACAAACGGCAATCCACAGAAAACTCAACTTGCTGTTTGTTGTACTTCAGCTTTAAAGAACAGATTATCGCAGGGAAAGGTTTTAAGTGGAAAAAGAATACTTGGGAAAGCACAGGGCAAAAGTTAAGTGTGGATAAGCCCTAAGAGACAGCCAAGATCAGGGGTCAGCAAACTTTTTCCACTGTGCCTCAGACCTTGGGGGGGGGCAGACTATATATTTTTTTTGGGGGGGGAATGAACAAATTACTATGCCCCACAAATAACTCAGAGATGCCGGATTAGAAGGCGATTGGGCCGGATCCGTCCCCTGGGCCTTAGTTTCCCTACCAATGGCTAAGATGGTCTCTTCCGCAACCTCAACTTTTGTAGCTGGAGCCAGTCAGGGCCCTGCCCTCCCCAGCCAGCTGGGAAAAGGCCTGCAAGGCAGGGAGCAAGTCTTCCAGGACTCACAGCCAAGATTTTTCACCACCTCTGAGTTGACCCCCTTTGTATTCTGTGCATGTGGTACAAGCCTTTTTCTTCCAACCTCTGATCTAGTGACTGATCCTCATGTGCTGTTAGAGATATTGATAAAACAATGTTTTCACAAGTCAATACATTTTTTTAGCTTGTGTTTCCCCACAGCCTTGGTAGTATCCACCATCCTCTTTAACAGTTCTGCCATTTTTTTATTTTCTGGGCTGATATCTGTCCCCATCATGGTAGCCTTCTCCCTCTTAGCTGAGAATTTCCTTTCCAGCAGGTTTTAGCCTCCCAGGGTTCGCTCATGTATTTAACTTTTTTTAACTCTTCTCTTTCCTAATTTGGTGTATTGGTTTCATTGTTATACTATAATGTTGCTTTTGATATGTTGTCCTGAGCATTCAAAAACATAAAAAGCAGCATATGAAAGCTTTGTTCTTCTTATTTTATTGTTTGTATTGTAATTATTTGTATGTTTTAAACAAGTTTTAATTCTATTAATGTTTACTTTTAGAAATGATTGTTTTTTCTTTGTTTTTAGGGTTTCTTGTTTTATCTGTAAAGCAAGGGGTCCTGTCAGGGAAAGAGCAGGGGTATAAATAAATATATAATAATAATAATAATATAATTTTAATAATATTTGTTTACACAGATGTGTTTCTTAAGATAAAGTTCAGTTGGGTGTAAGTAATTCTAAAATAACACCATAGTGAATGCATCTAATCTTAATTTTCATAGAAAAAAAGTACAAGTGAATATGGTAGATTAACTGTGATAATCAATAATCAAGGCAAATATTCTTTAATACTTTATTGTTTGCAGGATGAATTATGTTAAAATATTGAGTGGATAGATAACCATACTGAGCACATTCAGGTTTTCTAGCAGTATTGTTTAAAGAACCATATATATTTTCTCTCATTTCTTTGTAGTGATTTATTATCCTCTGATTATGTGGAGATTCATTATGAAGAAGGAAAACCACAATATTCAAAGGTACTGTAGAAATATTTTATCCTGGCCAAAGAGTGAACATTTACCAGCATATCCTCTACATGGTCGTCCCGTCCCCCCTTTTCCTTGCACATTTCAAACTCTAGGCAGTTTTTGAGGTGCATTTCCTGTAGTGACATCTGTAACAGGGTCATTTCTGTTAGCAAGCTTACAGATACCACACCACCAAAAAGCACCCCGCATTGTCTGGAAGCATATTGCAATAGTTAGAAAAGGACCTGCACATCGGCGATCTTGCGTCAATTTGACACTCCTAAAATGGTTGCCGCCTATAATATAATAATTACAGATTGTATACATTTGGCAGTTAGGAACCACTTAAGCAACGTAATTATTTTTGTTTTAGAGGAGCTATATTTAATCATATTTCCCTGTCTGCCATTAAATTGATAGATGTGTATTGAGTGAAATTTCCTATGCCAAGCGTTAACAAAATTACTGTAGCCACCTGATGTATATTCATTGCTGAAGCCATAGATCATGCATTTTATGGTTTATGGAACTTACAGCATTAAGTAGGGCATATCTTAAACGTATCGTAAATGTTTGCAGATTTCTACTAATTCTCACCTGTTCAAGTTCTGTCCAAAAGTGTAGAAGTTGGTATTCTAACTTTACCCATTTCTGTACTATTACCGTATTTTTCGTCCCATAGGATGCTCCGTCCCATAGGACGCACCTAGTTTTTTTGGGGGGAAATAAAGGAAAAAAATTTTCCCTATATTTCCCCCCCAAAACCAGGTCGGGGAAACCAAACCAGGTCGGGGAACAGCGGGATGGCGGCGCTGTGCCTCCCCGCTGTCCCCCGAGCTTGTGGGTCTGGCTGATGTCTGCCCGAAGCGCGGGGCGCTCTGCTTCAGCGCTCCCTGCGCTCCGTGCAGCATGCTGCTATCTGCAGCCTAGGGAGCCCTGCAGGAACTCCCGCAGGGCTCCCCAGGCTGCGGATGTCTGCCCGGCGCGCGGGGCGCTCTGCTTCAGGGTGCCCCGCGTGCCGGGCGGCAGGCTGCTATCCGCAGCCTAGGGAGCCTGCGGGAACTCCCGCGGGCTCCCCAGGCTTGCTGATAGCTTCCTGAAGCCTGGAGAGTGAGACGGGTCGGTGCGCACCGACCCCTCTCTCTCTCCAAGCTTCAGCGAAAGCCTGTATTCGCCCCATAGGACGCACACACATTTCCCCTTCCATTTTTGGAGGGGAAAAGTGCGTCCTATAGGGTGAAAAAACAGTAAGTTTGTATATGTCTGTTAGGGTTAGTGGAACGTAAAACTACGTTGACTACCTCATTGCAGTGCTCTCAGTCTGGCTGCTTGCATGGAACCATGCCTCCTTAGGTCATAATTATCCTGTCTTTACTTACAGAGATCGGCATTACCATTATCCTTTGCCGGTGATAATGCTTCAAAACTTTCCATAAAGGGTTTGAGAGACTTGAGACTGTGGGCCTCTTTAGATGTTATCTCTCCCCTTGCTTCTGTATATGTGAGATCTGAGGGAAACTTTGGGCTTGTGTGCTTACTCCCTTTGCTTCAGTCACCATGCATGCATAGACGATGTCCAAACCTGGAAATCCTATGGGGTTTTTCCCCCGAGTATGCCTCTAATGTTCAAAAGGGAATCAGCGTTGAAATAATTGTTGGATCTCACAGTTGGATGTTAACTTTTATGTTTGGTGAGGAAATTTTGGTAATCCTGGGACCATTCCACATCTCTCTGCATGTAGATGTTGTGCTGGACTCAGTTCCATGTTTCTCTGTTGCCCTGTGGAAGGGCTTGGTGTATGTACTGATACCTCATATTCACAGCTGCAATAAGACTGAAAAATTGGGAACCTAGCAACTTCATTGGCCTTCAAACAAATTTACAAAAATATAGTTGTTGTGTTGTTTTCGTTTTTTATTTAAAAAAAAACCATCTTCCTGGCCCTTACTCAATGCTAAAGGGACTATTTGCATTATCAGCAGCTCCGGAGTTGCTGAGTCATGAGTCTTGCACAGAACCTTTGAGTCAGCAATTGCACCATCTTTGCATGCTGCAGTAACTTGATATAGATTTCCTTGAGGATATTTACAGACTCAGTTGATCTGGAAACACTGAGAAGAACCTTGAAATCGTGTGTTCCATAGCAGGTTTCATTACATCCCCCAAATGCAGAACTGATTTATTACCCTGAAGGTCAAAGATAGCCCTTTAATATTTAATTTAAGGATAGATTTTAATTAATTTTTTAATTTAAATTTAAATTGCCCATATGCGGAAACTTGAAACTGAGATGAAATAATTTAGAAATAATTGCTGTAAGACCAACATATAATTGCTTCTTTGTGACCTTTGCAATAAGCCTTTTGAATGTGCAAACCATAGCATACAATTTTACTGAAAGCACTGGCTGACTGCAGAGGCATTTGGGCCTTCTGTTATCTTAACAGTTTTGTGCCAGAGTAGAGTTAGTAGTATGCTCTTCCTGTGTTCCTTAGTGACCAGAGAGAATAAGTACATCATTGCATATCTGGCTAATTTGGTTTGTCATTTACTTTCTTGATCAGCTAGTAATCATTATTTTGTTTTTCTCTCACAGGGCAGTGTTTCCCAGAGATGTTTATTTTATTCATTGATCTTAGAAAACAAAGTGAAGATAGCAACACTGGTTTCAGATAGAAATACAGTGGTACCTCGGGTTACATACGTTTCAGGTTACATATGCTTCAGGTTACAGACTCCTCTAACCCAGAAATAGTGCCTCAGGTTAAGAACTTTGCTTCAGGGTAAGAGCAGAAATTGTGCTCCGGCAGCGCAGCGGCAGCAGGAGGCCCCATTAGCTAAAGTGGTGCTTCAGGTTAAGAACAGTTTCAGGTTAAGAACGGTCCTCCGGAATGAATTATGTACTTAACCCGAGGTACCACTGTATAATAGATTCAGATTATACGTCATATTACTTAAAGCCAGTGCTTTTTTTTCTAAACCCCCCCCCCAATGTTTAGGGGTACTTTCATTTTAACTTGAGAAAATCACCATTTTATAGTTCAAATCGGGAAAAATAAATACAGTAAATGGACAAAACTACAAAGATTCACAAAATGTTTAGGGGTATGCGTCCCCCCAGAAAAAAAGCACTGCTTAAACCACAGACTCCTAGATTATCAGTCAATTGACTGTATTTCTAACTTCTCTGTAAATATTGTGCTCTCCTTTTAAAAGAACAGTAGATTATTATTATTATAATAAAAACATGTTAGTAGGTATTTTGGCTCTTAAAACATCATAAATGAAGCAGATACGTCTATAGTTCATTAGAATATAGGACTGATGATTCCTCAAGAGCTTTCCTTCGAAACATTAGTTAAAGGTTTGAATTCTTAAAATTTCTAATCCTACTCACTGAGCGGAAAGTTTAGCTGAATCACTACTATGTCTGTTTAGAACTGCAGCTTTAATTCAGTGTAGCTTTTTGTTTGTTTGTTTCATTTAGGAGAAATACTTGCTTCTTGTACTTTCCTTAAAAAATGGAATTCAAGAAGACATGCTTTTTGCCCTGTATAGCCTTTATGCATACACCCAAGCGATCACTTACCTTATACCGTCCAGGCGAACGGTAACCCTTTTATAAACAAATTGCAAAAACCTTAAATGAAGCTGTCCATTTTATTCCTCAGGGAGGAGAACACTGTTACTATCATGGGAACATCAGAGGTGTTGAGAACTCCAAAGCTGCGCTTTCAACATGCAATGGACTCCAGTAAGTACTGGTATTATCACAGAACCATAGAACTTTAGAGTCGAACCCCCTGCAATTCAGGAATCTTGCTAGTTTATGTAGTTGCAGGGACGGCTTTACCATTGGGCATAGTGGTGCAGCGAACCAGGGCGCCAAGCGGTGGAGGGCGCCAGGCAGAGAGTCTGGGGAGGGGAGAGTGGGGAGGTAAGCGAGGAAGTGCCTGCGTGCCTCCAGCACCCGTCTGAGGCAGGAAGGCTCCGGATGCTTTCCTGCAGTCCAGATGTGCTGGTCCCGAGGGTTAACCATGAGGTGAGGTCCGAGTCCAGTCTAAGGTGCAGTATGGAGGCAGTCCATCAAAGCTGATGCTGGGTTCAAGGCAGGGAGTCGGGTGAGGTCAGGAGCTCTGGCAGAATAGCAGGACATGGTGCAGGCAGGAACAGGCTATCACCAATGTTGCTCTCGCAACTTGGGACTGGGACTGGCTGGTTTTTATCTGCCCCGAGGCATAGGGCAGCCCCGGTCCACAGGTGACTCGCCTCTCCTGGCCTGGAGGTGAGCACTCCTCCTGCGGGAACTTAGTTCCCTCCGCCTCTCTGCCCTGAGCCTCTGCAGCTCAGGAGAGGCTGGAGGGTTACCGGACCCAGAGGCAACCTCACTTTCCCCTGACGGGGCTGAGAGTGGAACACCTGAAGGCAATGGCTCTTCCATCACTTCAGGAGCCAGAGCAGACTCAGCTGGTGCCTGCACCTGAGGATCCAGCACAGGTGAGGACTCTTCAGGCTCAAGCCCCAGCCCCGGCTCAGCTGGTTCTGGAGGCGGGGAATCCTATGCAGGCTGGGTTTTCTCAGGTTCAGCCTCCGAGTCCGAATCCCAGGCCATCACAGTGAAGCTCTCTCCCGCTGGCTCTGCAACACACCACCTCCTCGGTTGCATCCCAAGCTCTGTGCATAATAAACGTGACACTATCACCGCTCTTCCCTGTACACTCCAAAAGATCCCCGCGCTCAAGGCTACACACTGCAACTGCTGCCCCCAGCGCCCCTCCCTCCTTCCCCTGCTTCACCACCACCATGCACCGAGCCTGCCTCCTCCCGCTGCCCCCACCACCTCTGCACTCCTTCACACGAACCGCATTTCCTTCCCCTGCCCGATCCCCTCCCAGTCAAGCTCTCTCCTCCCCCCCCTTCCTCCCCAAGCAAGGACGGCGAGACTGCGGCTGAGTGAGTGTGCTTCTACGCTGCGGCGATGTGGACGGCCCAGCTCGCTTTGCCTGTCCCTGCCCGGAAGAGACCCCCACCTGCCTCCCGTGCCGCCCCCATTGCGCCCGGCTGCCCAGCCCCACACCATGATCCTGCCGTGGGAGCCGATGCCCAGCCGTGCACGGACGGGAGCAGCCTTTCCTAAAAAACTTTAGCCCCCCCCTTAAAAAAGGTCAACAACGCTGGGAAACAGGGGGAGGGGGCGCCGGAGGGATCTTATTAGTGTATTTTTGGTCTTTGTGGAAGCCGCCCAGAGTGGCTGGGGAGACCCAGCCAGATGGGTGGGGTACAAATAATAAATTATTATTATTATTATTATTATTATTATTATTATTATTATTATTTTATTTTATTTTATTATCTTTGCACCATGGCGCCGGATATGCTTAAGACGGCCCTGTATAGTTGCAACATAGTTACAGGATGGGATGGTGGAGAGGGGGGGAAGTCTCCCTCTCCTGATGAGCCCCTTCTGCGGCCACCTCACAGTCAGTGAATGCTTTAAGGAATTGTAGAGGAAGGTAAGAGGCTCGCAGAGAAGGTGCGCAGGGTGGGTGGCCAGGAAGGGGTTATTTGGGAAGCCTCAGATTTATTTCCAGTTCAGTCCAAGGTGAGCAGCTGATGTGAATGCCTGGATGAACTACGGGGATCTTCCTAGAAACCCATATTTTTAATTATGTTTCTGATTCTATGGTTCTGCGGAGCTGAGTGTTATTTTAATTTCAGGAAGGTAGCCGTGTTGGTCTGACACAGACAAAATAAAGAAATTAAAAAATAGCCGGGTAGTACCTTAGAGACCAGCTAGGTTTGTTCTGGGTGTAAGCTTTCGTGTGCATGCACACTTCTTCAGATACACTGAAACAGAAGTCACCAGACACTTATATATAGTGGGAGGGTGGGGTGGGGTTTTTCTCAGGAGGGTAGTGGGAGATGTGTGATTGACACAATGGGTGTAGTAAACCTGTTGACGACTGTTAATGACTGCAATTAGTCCTACAGGAAAAAGCAAGGGTAGTATGCAGATGACCAGAACTAGCTTTAGCATGTGTAATGAGACAAGAATCCAATATTCAGATCAGGTCTTTCCATAGTTTTCAGTAACCCTCCCCACTACAGTCATACCTCGGGTTGAAGTAGCTTCAGGTTAAGCATTTTTGGGTTGCACTCCACGGCGCGTTACTGCCGGGTTTCGCTGCTCGCGCATGCACAGACGCTCAAAATGACATTATGCGCGGAAGCGGTGAATTGCGACACGCGCAGACGCAGGTTCCATTTGCTTCAGGATGTGAACGGGGCTCCGGAACGGATCCCGTTCGCATCCAGAGGTACCACTGTATATATAAGGGTCTGGTGACTTTTGTTTCAGTGTATCTGAAGAAGTGTGCATGCGCACAAAAGTTTATACCCAGAACAAACCTAGCTGGTCCCTAAGGTGCTACTGGACAATTTTTTAAATTTTTTTTATTTATTATGCTATTTTAATGTTATTGATGGTTATCACTATTCATTTTTTTCTGGTTTTAAGATTATGTTTTATATATTGCTTAATGGTTTTGGAAGCCTCTTTGGGAGTGTTTGCCCTAAACAGTCTTATAACTATATTAAATAAATTTAAGGGGTCTGTACTCAGATATTCCAGTCTGAAACAGCACTGATGATTCTGTAAATGCCTACTCTGGTGTAGCTTCCTTGACTTGATTCTCTTAAATCTATGTTTTTCCTTATATCCTAGTGGTATGTTTGAAGATAGTTATTACCTATATTTGATAGAGCCTTTGGAATTGACTCACAGTACGGTAAGTTAATATTGAGCTATGTAGGTGTTGTTTTGGTTTGTTAACTGATAGGCTTGAATAGAAGATAAGAATTCTGTAGGTTAGTAATATGTTTGCAATCTGATTTATGTACAACTGACTTTGTTTGCTATATTTGAATATTCATTACCTTATTTAAAGAATAAAGAATAATCTTCATATTCTATGAATATGAATGCCATTGCATTTAGATGACAAAAATCTCTAAAACCTGGATTCTCCCGCTGATTGCTGTCAAGATGTTTCTGATCTTCAGTCATATATGTGTCCATTTTTGTTTATCAGGTTGAAATTTAAGCAAGCAAATAATTGCCTCCCCTTTTTTTGTTTCCCCACCCCTTTCTTTTGTAAGCTGAAATATACAGTGGTGCCCCGCAAGACGAATGCCTCGCAAGACGGAAAACCCGCTAGACGAAAGGGTTTTCCGTTTTGGAGGTGCTTCGCAAAACGAATTTCCTATGGGCTTGCTTGGCAAGACGAAAATGTCTTGCGAGTTCCTGCAGGGTTCCCCCCCCCTTTTCCCCAAGCCGCTAAGCCGCTTAACAGCTGATTGCTAAGCCGCTAAGCCGCTTAACAGCTGATCCGCTAAGCTGCTAAGCCGCTTAACAGCTGATCCACTAAGCTGCTAAACCGCTTAACAGTTGATCGCTAAGCCGCTAAGCCGCTTAACAGCTGATCCGCTAAGCCGCTTAACAGCTGATCCGCTAAGCCCGCTAAGCCGCTAATAGCGCTAAGCCGCTAAGCCGCTAATGGGCTTGCTTCGCAAGACGAAAAAACCGCAAGATGAAGAGACTCGCGGAACGGATTCTTTTTGTCCTGTGAGGCACCACTGTAACTTTAAATCCGAGCATTTGCATCTATTTCAAAATCTTAACTGCCAATGGGTACTACTATATGTGTAGATGGAATTGCAGTTTCCCCTTTTCCCTTGAAGGCTTCCAGCTTCAGGGAAGCTCTGATTCAGTAGATAGACTTTAGGCAAACTTCAAAGGATCAGGCCTATTCCCTTGTATCTGAAGATGTAGTGTGGAAAATAGATACAGGTCCCCCACTTGAGGCTCTCTGCCCCAGCCTCTTCCTGCTCACTAAACCCTGTTTCCTCTTCAGCTTCCGAAACTTCCTCCTTCCAGTCTTCTCCGTCTAACCGCTTACTGTCGTCCCACCTCCAGTCCGCTGGATCTGAGCCTTCTTCCCCTGGGGGTTCTCTTAAGGGTTCCCCAGCTGGTGGCCCACCCCCTCCTCTGCATCTAGCCAAGTCCATGACGGAAGGAGAGGGGAGATTGTTTCATCAGCACAAGCATTGCTGCTTGCCAGACAGAACAATAATAATGGCATGACATTGAACTCCTCACTATATCACGTAGTCTGGCTTTGCACAGTTGGGTTAATTGATTAGGCTGTTGCCTAATAAGTTAATTTAAAGGGTGGAGCTTCATACCCATGAACAATATTCCATAAATTAGAATGTCTTGAGCTTGAATTTGTCCCATGAATGACAGACCTGTTTTTCTCTTTCGTTACAGAGAAGTACAGGTAGACCACATGTCATCCAGAGGACGTTGGGAACAAATACTTCCAAGCAATTGGAAGACCTTGGTATGGGACTTTTGATACCCTGTTGCAGTGGTATTTAATGCTATATGATGACTTTGTCAATTATAAATCATTTAACTTTCTGCTGTAACAGAAAGGAAGTTTAGGGAAGTTTTTAATGTTTAATGCTGTCTTGTTTTTAACACTTGATTGGAAGCTGCCCAGAGTGGCTGGGGAAACTCAGCCAGATGGGCGAGGTATAAATAAATCAAAATTATTATTATAATTATTATAACAAGGGCTGAAACAAGTGGTGGCAGTCTGTATTTGAATGCTGCAGCATTAGAAACCTCTTCGGATGTTCTTTGAATGTGTGCAGAAATAAAATGCGGAGGTGGAGCAGGACTGCACCTGTTTCCATCAGTGTCTCCATCCTTACTGTTTCCAACCCTGAGTGTGGCATATTGAGCAGAAGATCTGAAGAGGGATCCTTTGCACATTTGGCGAACACACTTAGAATCCTTCCTGTGGTTAAGAGCCTCATGTAACCAGGGTTCCTGATTGTGGGGGTGATTATAAGCATGTTTAGCCAAACATGTGAAAACTCTCCTTTCAGTCCTTCCTTCTGAATGAGCAAAGGTGGAGTCGGTGGAGATGGGGACTTGGAGGGTGGGTCTGGTGAATATGCTTCTGCTCGCTCTCCATGCATTATTCTCCCATACTTCTGAAGAATGCCTGGAGGCAGGGGTGACCTGAGGGGTTTCAGCACCTTAGGGGAAGCACCTCGTTGCCACCCCCATGATGGGGCGGGGGTGGGCAAACTCCACAAGAGCTTCTGCCCCTCCTGGGCAGAACGGGAGATTCCCCCCTCCCTGGCTTGGCTGCAAAACTGGGTGGCGGAACACCCCCCACCCCTTTTGCCAACTCAGCAGGAGGGGAGGTGTTCCACAGAGCTTTGCCACCAGTCCCTCTCTGCTCCTAGATTCGGGGAAACCAGCTGGGCAACAGAAAGTGGATGATGTCTTGGAGGGGTGCCACCAGACACAGCTGCCTCACCCTGCCTTATGGGTGGGCTGGCTCTGCCTGAATGAGACCAAGATGCTCAATTTCCCTGCAGAACTAGGTAAAGGTAAAGGGACCCCTGACCATTAGGTCCAGTCGTGGGCAACTCTGGGGTTGCAGTGCTCATCTCGCTTTATTGGCCGAGGGAGCCGGCGTACAGCTTCCGGGTCATGTGGCCAGCATGACTAAGCCGCTTCTGATGAACCAGAGCAGCGCACAGAAATGCCATTTACCTTCCCGCCAGAGCGGTACCTATTTATCTACTTGCACTTGATGTGCTTTCGAACTGCTAGGTTGGCAGGAGCAGGGACCGAGCAACGGGAGCTCACCCCGTCGCGGGGATTTGAACCGCCGACCTTCTGATCGGCAGGTCCTAGGCTCTGTGGTTTAACCCACAGCGCCACCTTCATTCTGCAGAACTAGGTAGACATAAGCAATATGGTTGATGATCTTCCTTCCTTAAAATATCCCTTTTTCTTTTTCAAAAAATAATAATGATTTTTAGTGACAACCTGATATTTACCTTAATGGTGAAAATGTTAGGATTTCATTGGCATCTACAGATGAGGAAATCACATTCCAGTTGTTTAAAATATTTTTGCCAGTACTCATGGAATTGTTGCATTTCAAAATGTGTAGCTTTTTTATCTATATATATTTTTTGGTCAGGGTGCAGTAGTTAAACCCCAGTAGTAAATTACTCTCTGGTTCTGGTAGTGCCACCCATACTGATTTTCTGGAGGAATCGGTCCCTTTTTGATTTCTAGTTAGTTGGACTCTGTGTCCTCTGATGCCACAACTGATGGAGCACTGGTAGTGTGAATCAGTGTGTGATTTTGGGTAGTCATGGACACCAGGGATGGGATTAAGGAGGCCGTTCAGTGGTTCCAAGGTGAAAGATCTACTTGGGGAAACTGTGTCTGAGAATTTTGGTAAACAGCAGTAAATAAAGTTTTCAGCTAAGCACATTAAACAACAAAAATCATGTCTAAATAGACAGGTTTTTAGCCCTTTTTAAAAGGGTGAAGGTAGAGAATTTGGGGGACAGCACAGCTGATTTTGTAAGCTAATCTGCTGCTCCCTACATATGACCCCTGCAATTGCAATTTGAGACAGCAGTAGTGGTAAGGCCAGCCCTGAATTGAAAGCCAGAAAAAATATATAGATCCAGGCAGCCCATTTCTTCAAGAAGCACCACAGTTTGCTTGCACAACATGGCTAAGAAGGGCGGATTTGAAATAGACCTCTAGGTTACCAGATATTGGGGAAGCAAAGGATGGAGTCCATCAGAGAGGAGAAACAGGAGAAGCGCCAGTGCGCGGGTGGAAAGGAGACACAAACTGTTAGGTGCACAGGAAATTGATTTATTGGCCAAATTGATAAAGCTGTGGGTAATATCCCATGAAGCTGAAACTTCTTTGCTATTGTTTTTTTCTTCCATAGATTATGACTCTACTTCTGAATGGCCCTTCCTGTCTGAGTTGCAATGGCTAAGACGGAAAAGAAGGAGGAGAGCTGTGAGTGTTATCAGTAACACAATTTTCAAATACGTGTATTCACTTCATGTATGTTCCTGGCATAAGAGAAAAGAGTCAGAAGCTAAAATTATCTTACATTGGATATGTAGCTGCACTCAGATTGATGATTTGCTGTTTCCTACCAGTAAAGATTCAAGAGACCCAGTGTACAGTCTGTAATTGCATATTTAACCCAGAAACAAGTAAACAATTTTGAAAGATGCAAAAGAAAAGGCGGTGTGCGTACAGAGATCAAATTGAATTGTTATGTAAATCACTAATGATATCATCAAATGGTGCACAAAAAGCTGGTGTAAAGAATGAAGAAAATTATAATTTCATCCTGAAATACTGCAGGCGCTCCTCTTTAAATAGTAGTTCACTCAGGATTTGGGATAAATTAAAGGACTGAGTTAGCTAAATCACCATTTGCTGCTGGAATGTATGTTTTAGATTTTAATCTTAATATAGAATTAGAGCCTTTTACACCAGGGGTTGCCAATTTTGGGGGGACCAACAGGCGCATTGAAGTTTTAAGATCGTGCCACCAGTCTCAAAATGGCATAGCACAAAATGGCTGCTACGTCTGTAAGAGCAGAAAAAAGACAGGACCACAAAATGGTGTGGGTATGCACCCCCCATTGGCCTCTCCCATCAGTGGGTGAAAAGGCACCCACATCAACCTCTACTGCACATGCTCACAGAAGGTAGCTTTCTGCACCTCCCACATGATCAGAGCAGAAGGGAAGGTGGGTGTCTAATCCTGACATCCAGTGTAGTGTTGGTATGTTGGAGGGAGGGGTGTTCAGTGTAGGAGAGGCCGAGCCAGAGCAAACAGAAACGGAGCAGAGAGCAGTCTCTTGTGTAATGTGTATTTTTGAGAAGATACCTTCCACCGGGTGCCACTGAATGTACTGGTGGGCACACTGGCATGTGTGGATGCGATGTTGAAGACTCCTGTTTTACACTGCCAGGCAGTAATGACCAAACACATGAAACTGCCTTATGAATGTCAGATCAACAGTACAGTGGTACCTCGGGTTAAGTACTTACTTCGTTCTGGAGGTCCGTACTTAACCTGAAACTGTTCTTAACCTGAAGCACCACTTTAGCTAATGGGGCCTCCTGCTGCTGCTGCGCCGCCAGAGCACAATTTCTGTTCTCCTCCTGAAGCAAAGTTCTTAACCTGAAGCACTATTTCTGGGTTAGCGGAGTCTGTAACCTGAAGCGTATGTAACCCGAGGTACCACTGTACTACTCTGACTGGTATCTGATTCCAGGCAGAGCTCTTTCCCAGCTCTTAACAGTGGAGGCTGCTCTGTTAGGGCAAATGGAGCAATGCCCCATTAACCTGGCTTTCAGCTAGCACTTGCCTGCCCTTTTACTTGCACCCAGCCCAGGGCAGGGGGTAGCCCTGGCCATCAGCTTCCTCCCCGATAGCCTTGGTGTTGCTCTTGTAGCAGGGGGAAGGACAGGGACAAAGCTAGAATCGGTTGGCTCTGCCAGTCATTTGCTCTGGCTCCACTAACTGTTGGCCCCTCTGCCTTTCCCCTTACTAGTCCCAATGAGCACCAGCAACCACTGCCTTAGGTATTATTGACTGAAGATGCCAGGGACTAAGCTTGGGACTTCTTAATAAAGTTTAAGCTCCACTCCAATGGATATAATTTGTGAAATGGCCATGGAACTGATCAGAAGAACAAACATGCCAATGAAACGAATATATTATAGTTAGAAATACAGTGGTAAATTGGGTTAAGTACTTAATTCGTTCCAGACGTCTGTTCTTAACCTGAAACTGTTCTTAACCTGAAGCACCACTTTAGCTAATGGGGCCTCCTGCTGCTGCCGTCCCACCGGAGCACGATTTCTGTTCTTATCCTGAAGCAAAGTTCTTAACCTGAAGCACTATTTCTGGGTTAGTGGAGTGTGTAACCTGAAGCGAATGTAACCTGAAGCATATGTAACCTGAGGTACCACTGTACTGTCATTAAAATATATAATCCTAAACCCTTGAGAGGTTTCAATTGAGTCAGGTTTAGGTACACAGAACAGCATTGCATGGCAATTGATAAAGCAACCCTAAATTCATTTTTAAAAATCCAACTGTAGCTTTTAAAATCCTTTAGGTTTCCCGCGGCATATTTGAAGAAATGAAATACTTGGAGCTCATGATTGTTAATGACTATAAAATGGTAAGCTGGCTGTATTAATTAATTCTATTGTTATCTAATTTAGTTACAATATACCCTCCTTTTTACACTTACTGCCTGTTGCAAATGTTATTTACTGCTACAACTTCCTGTATTTATTACAGTTACTGAAATCCTACCTTTCAGGAGGAGGGGTAGGATAGAAATGATAAATGATAAATCCAATGTTTTGTTGTTGTTATCTTCATTTATTACCCATCCTTCGCCTTAAGGCTCTAGGTGGCTCAGAACAATTTAAAATGCAGCATTAAAAATAGTTTAAAACAAATTACAATCACAAGAATATTGTTGGTCCTAAAGATATACATCTCAGGCCAAGGAAAATAAGATAAATTGTCACCTTCCTGATTTATGTTCAGATTGCCCTGGCCCTGACCACCCATCAAATTTGGCAGCTGAGACTGATCCTGATAAGGATCTGGTCTGTGGAGCCAAAAATGTTCCCTACCCCTTAAGGCCTACATAATTTAGTTCTGTTTTAAACGTTTTACTGATTTTATCTGTGTTTTAGTATGTATACTTGTTTTTTCACCATACTGTGAATAATAGCTGCTTTTATCAATAATTTTATTATGTACACAGGTTATATAGTTTTGTGATTAAGTGGTATATAATTTTTTCCAAGTAATATATAAATCTGTTTTGATAGTCTGATCCACAGCGTCGCAATAGTATTGTTTCACTTAAAGGCGGAATTGAGAGCAAATTTAAAGGAGACATGGGACCACTAGCTCCAGGAATTAAATATATTTTCAAAGTGAAACTGATGGGGGAAAGTTGTTGCAGTTAACTATTTTATAGTAGTTCTCCCCCTTTTTTTCATGACACAAATGCTTGTGAATTCCATAAACGTTAGCAGTTCAAGAGGAAAACACTGATTAGCAGAGCCGCTGTTTGTTCTTTGCATTGCCAGGAGGCAAACCTCTTGATCGAATTATGATTTGACATTTTTCTTCTAGTTTAAAAAGCACCGATCATCCCATGCTTACACGAACAACTTTGCGAAATCTGTGGTAAATCTTGTGGATGCTGTAAGTATTGCAATAATTGGTACAATTAATGCCTCATGATTCAACATTTGACTTTGCAGACGTTGGGATGAAAATAGTGGTGATAGAGGATGTAAACTTGCACAACCTTGGGAGCACGAACCAGTATATACCAATGGCAATCCTACTAATCCTTATGTAGCCAAAAGGGAGGTAATCAGTAGGCCTGGAGGAACCTCTGTAGATCTCGACTATAAAATATTGGGCTGGGTGGGGCTATCAAATACCCCAAAACAGTGAGGACTAGGTATGATTAGTGTTCACAGAACTCTGACTGACTGGGTGTGTGGTGATGGGGAGGCTACAACTAAAAACTAAGAAAGGAGAATGTAATAAAGTATCCTGGAAAAGGTTTCTGCAGACCAAACGGAATAATGTGCGGGAGCGCTCCATGCTGCAGCATTTTGCTGCAGGCTCCACTTGTGACTTTTTAGTGCTCATTTTATTTACCATATTTTTCGTTCCATAAGACGCACCTGACCATACGATGCACCTAGTTTTTAGAGGAGGAAAGGGGGAAAGCCCCGGTTTTTTGAGGATCAGCTCAAAGTTTTGCAGCTTACTTTGCAAAGGGAAAAATCCTGTTTTTATGGGGTTCAACTCACAGTTCTGCAGCTTCTTTAGGAAAGAAAAGGGAGCTGTTTCTACAGTTTCCAGACTGATAATCTAATCATCCAGTCCCATGTTGCTGGGGAAACCAACGGCCTCCGTCTGCAGAACATTCAACAATGGAGGCCTGGGCAAGGGGCTGGAAAGGGAGCCAGCGATCGACCACACATTTGCTCCATAAGACGCACAGACATTTCCCCTTACTTTTTAGAAGGAAAAAGGTGCGTCTTATGGAGCGAAAAATATGGCACATCCTGCTGTATCATTAAACAAAAAAAACAACCCAGCAGTTTACAACAATATACAGTAAAACCAGAACCGAACAATAAAATTACAACAAGTTAAAAGCAGAAACAAATTAAAAACGAAACATCGAAAGACCATTGTGGGGGATGTACCATATTTTTCCGTGTATAACCCGACCCCATGTATAAGATGACTCCTACCCTATTTTTGGGAGCCCTCAACAGTTGTTGAGCTTCTTTTGTAAGTTCGCTGAGCTGTTGAGCAGCTTTTCGACGATCCCCTGCTCTGGCTGATGGAACTGGTGCCGTAATACACCGCATACTGACACTCACCAAATACTCTTCCTAAGCCTGGAAGCGCGGGTAAGCAGCCTCCTCTCTGACATTTCCCTGCTACCACTGCAGCACCAGCCCTCGCTTGCTTAGCATATTAACCTGTGTATAAGACGACCCTCAATTTATCACAAAAAAATTCAGGAAAAAAGATTGTCTTATACATGGGAAAATACGGTACTCTTAATGGCAGAATAGACAAGTTTCAGCGGGCATTTAGAAGTTGCCACTCAAGGCCAATTCATTTCAATAAGTAGGTCACCAAAGGTTATATGAGACATCAACACATCATGCCCAGTTAAATCACCCGGGCCAAGACACAATCCAAAGAAACATGCGACAACAAACCTGAAGTGATGTGGAGCCTACTGTAATAATGGTGTCTGTGTATATAATACCTTGATTAACATAATTTTCTAAATAATGTTATCATCTTCTGTTAAACTTAAGGTTAAATGCTGTGAGACCCCATGATATTAAGAATTAGGTAGGCTGGGCCTCCACCAGAATTCCACCCCGACTAACTGGATAAGTTTATGAAACTAAATGGCACACTAAAGTAAAATCTTATTTTTAAATGTACCCACACACAAAGATAGGATTCCAGGACAAATAGTTTACGTCTGCACCCTCGAACGTACACAGAGCAGTTTCCTCCTTGCCCCTCATCCCTTAACCAGGGGCAGATTTGCAATAGAGTTGGGAAAGGCTGGGATGCCGTGGTGGTGCACAGACTACTATATTGCATTCTACATTAGTCCTCTGTAATACACTTCAGGGTTAATGGACTGACAAACCCGGGACCAGGAGGAAGGGACGCTGGATGAAGATTGGATTGTTTTATTTTTTCTTCTTTATTTTGTTACTAGGACTGTCTTACATAACTGATGAATGTTAGAAGGATGTTTGAAATGAAATTGCCTGGCTTTAGTATAAATGTTTAAAGGATTAGGAAAGAATATAATGGTTATGAGAAGTTAGTAAAAATAAGATTTAGGTTTTGAATTATAAGGTTTTTTTATAAGATAATGATGAAAATAGATTAAGGTAATGCAATGAAAGATTAGGATAAATAAAGTGGGGAAGGATTTGCTGAATTAACAAATTGAACAGGAATACAGGAAAGGGAGGGGTGAGGAAGTCCGGGAAATAAGCAAATGAAAGTTAAGTAAAGGAAGATGGAATTGTTTTTAACTATTTTTAATTTTTTTTGTATTTTTATTTTTTTCTTTTTTGTATTTTGTAATGTTCTGAAAATTTCAATAAATATCTATGGGGAAAAAAATACACCTCAGGGTTAGGGCAGCTTCCAGATTTGTATGGTAGGCAATTGTGCTGGACTTGTAGGAAGGAATATTGCTGTGCTCCTGCTCCACTGAACTTTCCAAGCTCTGAACGTCCAATCTCACTGAACTTTCCCTTGTTGTTTGTATCAGAGCTTAGCGAGCATTCTGCTGAGCCAAGGAAGGATTCCGGCTTAAGCAGCATATAGTTGCACTCCTCTTCCTCTGCCTCTTCCCAAAGTGAGCTGTGGGGCTTTACACACCATTTCCCACAGCGTACTGTAGCAACTACATCAGTTAGGGAACCTCCAGCCTGCAGACCTATTTGGGCCAGCCAGCACCCACTCATTGGGCTCACAAGAATGCTTGGGCCAACCCGTGTCTACCTTCCCTGCATCTGATGTCATCTGAGGGGCAAGTAAGGGGTTGTGCCAAAAGGATACTACCAATTGGCGGTGCCTTCAAAGCCTCTTCTGCACCACTTCCCAACCAGGGCTTCAGAAGCACTGCAGAAAGCGCTTTGCAATCCTGACGCTCAGGGATCAGCTAGTTGTCAGGTATTTGAGAAGCGCTGCACAAAGTACTTTGCAAGTCTCATGCTCAGCACTTCCTAAGCTTAGGACAGGTAGGGTTGGTGAAAGATGGAGAACTAGTACGTTTCCGAGCACAATTCAAAGTGTTGGTGCTGACCTTTAAAGCCCTAAACGGCTTCGGTCCTGTATACCTGAAGGACCGTCTCCACCCCCATCGTTCAGCCCGGACACTGAGATCCAGCACCAAGGGCCTTCTGGCCGTTCCCTCATTGCGAGAAGTGAGGTTACAGGGAACCAGGCAGAGGGCCTTCTCGGTAGTGGCGCCCACCCTGTGGAACGCCCTCCCAGCAGATGTCAAGGCAATAAACAACTATTTTACTTTTAAAAGACAACTGAAGGCAGCCCTCTTTAGGGAAGTTTTTAATGTCTGATGCTGTATTGTTTTTAATATTCAGTTGGAAGCTGCCCAGAGTGGCTGGGGAAACCCAGCCAGATGGGCGAGGTATAAATAAATTATTATTATTATTATTATTATTATTATTATTATTATTATTATTATGCAGTAAATAAGATGGCTCTACATAATCATTTGCAGTGTCGAACTTAGTGCGGTGTTGATTCTTTTAAAGGAGACTGGAGGTGTATTGGCTAATTGTATTCCAATCTTTCCCTCCTGCTTTACCCCTTTTGTCCTTCCACTGACTCTGACTGGCTAACTGTGCACGCTTTGACCCAGTGTTCTACTCCTGTGCCTGTCCTGTATCTGCCCACAGATTTACAAGGAGCAGCTGAATACCAGGGTTGTTTTGGTTGCTGTTGAAACGTGGTCGGACAGAGATCGTATAAATGTCCACCCTGACCCAAGACAGATGCTTCATGATTTTTCCAAATATCGACAGAATTTCATCAAGCAGCGTGCTGATGCTGTACACCTTCTCTCGTATGTAGCGCAAGCTCTGTTTGGTACATGGTCTCACTTTCCTGAAGGCCTCTCTTTCTAGTTCTTTTTCTGTCTGCTTATTTACATCTCATGGGTATATCTTAAATGCTGCTTCTTTTAGGTATTTTATTATAATTTTTAAAAAAATACAGAATGCAGTGGAATCATTTTTATCCTCTCCTTACTGTTGTCTGAAAGAGGAGAAGCTGCTGTAGTTCAACAGTAAAACACATGATTTGCATGGGGGGGGAAATCCAGGCTTGGACCTTGACATTTCTTGCTAGGGCCGTAATGGAAATGAAATTCCTATTAATTTACATGTGCCAAATAAGAAGATATCTGTAGGGCATCATATATGTGTGAGATAACGCTTTTTAATATTGCTTCGTTTATCTTGTTCTTCAGGAATGTGACATTTCATTACAAAAGAAGCAGCCTGAGCTATTTTGGAGGAATTTGTTCTGTGTCTAGAGGTGTTGGAGTAAATGAGGTAACATTTCTCTTTTGGAGGTCTTGTGAGGAAGGGAAAATTTATGAAATATTTCCCTCATCATTATACCTTATTTTTAAACGGTGCTTCTCGTCATATGTTCAAAAATTTCAGATTTGTTTTCATAGATATTCCTAAAAGTCTCAAGCCTGAAATGCAATCGAGTGAAAATAATTTGACCTTTTATTCTAGTGTCAGCTTAGCATAGAACACTTGAATACAGGCTGAAGACAGCCATATCTCACTGTGAGGTACACGTGACATACCCTCTGTGAGAGGTGAATTAGTTTTCTTTATAATTCTATTCATTAGAAAAAAGAAAAGAAATCTTCAAGCATTTAAGGGTCCAGTACACTACTGATAAAGTGGCATGCTTTGTGTAAAGTCTGCGTTGTGGATATTTGCAAAACTGTAAGCCTTGATTTCTGTCAATTAGTTCAATACAGTGGTACCTCAGGTTATGTACTTAATTCGTTCCAGAGGTCCGTTCTTAACCTGAAACTGTTCTTAACCTGAAGCACCACTTTTGCTAATGGGGCCTCCCACTGCTGCTGTGCCACTGCCGTACGATTTCTGTTCTCATCCTGAAGCAAAGTTCTTAAGTTCTGTTTCTGGGTTAGCGGAATCTGTAACCAGAAGCGTATGTAACCTGAGGTGTATGTAACCCGAGGTACCACTGTATCGGTTGTTGTGCTTGGAACTTAGGTTTTAAGAAAGATTCCGGAATTAGAATTTCTCTAATGCGTTAGGCCTTTTGGACCATGCTGTCTCCTAGATTCCTCATATTGGAATCAAAATGGCCATTGAGGCATTAGGTAAATACTTCTTCTCATGCAAGGCGTCGTACCTGTTTTAGTTTTTTCTGCCCTACGTGCTGGAGCCCTCTGTGTTATATCCCATATTGTTCTGGGGGGGAACCCCCAAACCTAATAAGCAGCCTTTCAGGTAGCTTGGGGGAAGGCCTGCAGCGAATAGGATGAATCCATGAAAATGAGGTGTCCATCCTTCCATTTCCTTATTGCCTCCATTGAACGGAACCGCACGTTTCTGTTTTGATTTCTTCAAGTCAGTGCACCCAAATGGTTGCGTCGAAGTGTCGTTTGACTGCAGTTGGAAATCGAAAGATACTTTGGTTGGCCTGCAACTAAGTGTGAAATAACCTTAAAATAGTCCTCTGCACATACAAAATTTGTTGCTGTTTTGTGAAAGCTCTACGCCAAAGGTGGGGGACCTGTAGCACCAGAGATGTTGTTGAGCTACAACTCCCAACACCCCGTCATTGTGCATTCTGGCTAGGGCTGAAGTTGAGAGTTGCCAACTTGTAACCCCTCAGATATTGTAGATGTCAGGAAAATTGTCTAGAGCAAAGCTTTCCAAACTTGTCATGTTGGTGGCATGCATCATTTAGACATGCATTATTTCACAATACAGTAAAGGGTAAAGGGACCCCTGACCATTAGGTCCACTCGTGACCTACTCTGGGGTTGCGGCGCTCATCTCGCTTTATTGGCCAAGGGAGCCGGCGTATAGCTTCCGGGTCATGTGGCCAGCATGACTGAGCCGCTTCTGGCGAACCAGAGCAGCGCACGGAAACGCCGTTTACCTTCCCGCCGGAGTGGTACCTATTTATCTACTTGCACTTGATGTGCTTGCTAACTGCTAGGTTGGCAGGAGCTGGGACCGAGCAACAAGAGCTCACCCCGTCGCGGGGATTCGAACCGCCGACCTTCTGATCGGCAAGCCCCAGGCTCTGTGGTTTAACCCACAGCACCACCCGCGTCCTTCACAATACAGTTTCAGTTTTACTAGCAAACCTGAAGAGCATAGGGAACACCTACACACTGCAGCTGACACACTAATGCGTTGCGACACACTGTTTGGAAAGCTGTGGTCTGGAGTTTTATTTATGCATGAATTTGGGGTATTCTCGCACACAATAATGAATCTCCCTATCCTATATGATGTCAGTTTTTGTGGTGAGTTATTGAGGGTTCTTTTGGCTGCATAAATAAGTTATTCACAAGGTAACTATATGTTATACTGACATTACTGCTTCCAAGTGAAATCTCTGGCCATTAGCTGCCATGGCAACAAATCACCTGTACAGTACTTGACCAACCCTTTAGTTATGCAAAGAGTCATTCTCTGAACAAAAGAGAATGTACTAGGATATCTATTTTAACAAGGAGAGAGTTATCTGCTTCATAAAAGGCTGTCTACTTGTAAAAAAAGAATGTTGAGTACGATTCTTTAAAGTGTAATGAAGACTGTAACTGTTAGGAACAGTGCAAAAACAGTTAAATGTATAATTCACTACATGAGCAAAAGATGGGAAAAATCATATTTTTGCATGCAGAATGGGACAAAAGGGTGCAGAGAGTTGAGGCTTTATGCAAGACATTGAAGTGGGGATTTACAATGCCTAAACATATGTTTCCACATCCCTTCTCTGCACTATAGCTTTAAGCTGGTTTTACGTATATGAATGGACCAGCTCCGAAATACCTTATCATACTGTGTGTCCACATTGCTGTTATTTTTTATACTCTTGTATTCATTTTGGGAAAATAATTATTTTGGAGGTGTCACTAATAAAACTGGACCCAAACATACATTTTTCATTTCCAGAAACAGCTGTTCCTATTGTTTAAGTGTACATGTAGTGAAGAGTTTGAGGATACGATCCTAAACACACTTGAAAATAATTCGGATTAGTGAGATGTTTCCACTGTTTTAGGGTCTGAATTCCATACAGAATAACTAGTTAAGCAAACACTTTCTCCTAGAAATTGCAATAATTGATAGTACTTTGGTGTGCTCTCTACCTGAATCTCCTTTTCCAACAGTATGGCCTACCCTGGGCGATGGCACAAGAACTATCCCAAAGTCTGGCTCAGAATTTAGGAATACAGTGGGAGCCAGGGGCCAGAAAACCAAGTAGGTATTTGGCATACAATCTCTTTTGTTTTTATGTACAAATTGAATTCGTAAAACTACTACATATTTTGGACTTTTTATTATGTATAAACAGGGGTCAGCAAACTTTTTCAGGAGGCGGCTGGTCCACTGTCCCTCAGACCTTGTGGGGGGCCGGACCTACCCCCTCCCGAAAGGGCCCCCCCTGCTGATGCCACTCACGCTGCAGACGCCGACGCCACCTCATCTTCGGCAGCATCAGCATCCTCTGTCTCGGCGGGGCGCAGAGCCTCTGCACCGCTGCCTTTTCCTCCCACTCGGCTGCCTCAGCAGGAAGGAAGGGGCGGTGCCCAGAGGCGTCCACGGCTTCTGATTGGCTGCAGGAGCGTCCTGCAGCCAATCAGAAGCCGTGCCAGCGTCGCCGCCCGCCCAGAGGCATCCGCAGCTTTTGATTGGCTGCAGGAGCTTCCTGCAGCCAATCAGAAGCCATGCCATGCTGCAGAAGTCAGTCTCCGCACGGCGAGGCCTCCATGCCTGTTTAGTGCGGAGACTGACTGAGCAGGTGGCAGGGTCTGCAAGGTTCGCAGGCCGGATTAACGAGCCTGGTGGGCCATATCCGGACCGCGGACCTTAGTTTGCCAACCTCTGTATAAATAAAGGATTGGGCTGCAACAGCTGTTCTGTCCTTTCCTTGCCATTCCAGTACCAATCCTCTTCTGGGGTTTGTTGGACTCTATGCAAATGCCTGGGATGTAGTGTGCTGAGGTGTGGTGCAGAGGGGAAGGAGATCAACCAAAATCAGATGGAGGCACCTTGCGCAAGCAGACTTTTTACTTGTCCTCAACACATCCTCAACACATAAAGTTCATATTAAAGGATCTGGAATGGCCATTCGTGTAGCACATGGGGCTTCCACCCATTGCGGTGTTGTAAAACAATGCATTTTATAACCAGCAGCTAATTAATTTTTTGTTGTTATGGAGTAAGGAGATGCTATGACTTTATTGACTTTATTATTTTGATGAACTTGTTTGTTTCATATGCTGTTGTGTTTGATGTTACAGTGATTGCAGGGTTGGTTGTTTTTTAATGGTATCGTGATTATTGCAAGCTGCTTTGAGCTCAGCATTTGTTGTTTGAAAAGTGGAATACAAATATTAAATGAATCTAAATCAACTAACATATGTCCTTGGTTGAGACTTGCTGTGGCTTGCTCTTGCTCACTCATGTTGTGATCAACTACCATTTACTGTGACATGCAGATGTGGGCACTAGCCTTGAACTGACACATAAATCACTTGCGCGTACACTCAGAGTGTAGAGAGCTCAAACTGCGTTCAAGCTGGCAAAGGAACGATAGAGACTAGAAAAGAAATGATCTCTGCTGGATTTTGTTAATGAACCTCTAATGGAAAACAGCAGCTATTTTCTACTAGGGGTACTTTATCCTAAAACATATCTTTGTGTAGTGCTTGCTGTATTCAACACTTCAGACAGATACGAAAGCAGAAATGCTTCTTAACCACCCTCCTCTCTTTTACGCGAAGGGTTTATTATGTATTACTCATATATATTTTTAACTACTTTCATTCTTGGTTTTGCATTTTTCATTTTGTTTCAGAAGGATGTGAGTGCACAGAATCCTGGGGTGGATGCATCATGGAAGAAACAGGGTGAGTTGTAATAATTGGTACCTGTTACAGATTTTGGTTTTTTCTGGTTCTTCAGAACTAAAATAAGCAGTCTATGTTTAGACTCGTTTCTGGGGTGCATGCAGCATAGCAAGAATTATTTACAGGGCTTGGTAAGACATAAACGGGACCGCCTCTCCCGGTATGCCCCATGGGGAGCCTCAAGGTCCATAAATAGCAACACCCTAGTGGTCCCGGGCCCTAAGGAAGTTAGATTGGCTTCAACCAGAGCCAGGGCCTTTTCAACTCTGGCTCCGGCCTGGTGGAACGCTCTGCCTCATGAGACCAGGGCCCTGCAGGATCTGATTTCTTTCCGCAGCGCCTGTAAGACAGAGTTGTTCTGCCTGGCCTTTGGCTTGGAGCAAATTTGATTCCCTCCCTCCCTCTTTCTTTTTTCTTTTCCTTTCTCCTCCTGCGATGAGGTTTCAATATTTTAATGTTGTATTTAGTTTTGTTTTTAAGTTGTATTCATTCAATTTCTTTTTATTATTGCTTGTTAGCCGCCCTGAGCCCTGCCTTGGCTGGGGAGGGCGGGGTATAAATAAAAATTATTATTATTATTATAAACCATGACTTAACATCAGCAGTGGCGTAGCGTGGGGGGTGCAGGGGGGGCCGGCCGCACCGGGCACAACATCTGGGGGGGGCGCGCTCGCACTCGCAGCTCTCTGCCCCTACTAAAATCCACGGGTTAGGGGGCGCAAATTACTTGCCTTGCCCCGGGTGCTGACAACCCACACTACGCCACTGAACATCAGTGAACAGCAAACTAGTGCATCCTGCTCAATCATTCCCACTTTCCTGATAGCCTAACATGAGCAGCAGACTAAGAACCTGGGAGCACCATGTCATCCCAACTGAGATTGTGGTTTGTTTCTCCCTAAACACACAACAGTCAGCAAGCAAGCAAGCAAAGAATGTGGTTTATCTAGTTTTTGTCCAGTAAATTATTCACTGTGAAGCATTTTCCTCATTCATTTTTTTCTCTTTTTTTTTGGCCTTTCAGTGTCTACCACCCCAGAAAATTCTCAAGGTGCAGCATTGCAGAATACAAAGATTTTTTGCTTCGAGGGGGAGGTTCCTGTCTTTTCAACAAGCCAACAAAGGTACATCGATTTAGGCTGGAACTGGATCCCAGCATACCGTATTTTTTGCTCTATAAGACTCACCTTTTCCCTCCTAAAAAGTAAGGGGAAATGTGTGTGCGTCTTATGAAGCGAATGCAGGCTGTGCAGCTATCCCAGAAGCCAGGACAGCAAGAGGGATTGCTTCTTTCACTGCGCAGTGATCCCTCTTGCTGTTCTGGCTTCTGAGATTCAGAATATTTTTTCCCCTTGTTTTCCTCCTCCAAAAACTAGGTGCGTCTTGTGGTCTGGTGTGTCTTATAGAACGAAAAATACGGTAATTTATCCCTTGGGGAGAAAAGTGGCTTAGGGATGGGAGCAATTTTACATGGTTAGGAAAGGGTTGAGGAGATCTCCCTCCACTGGCGCCTTATTTAATTTGAAGACATTTGACTCTGAAATGCTGGAGCTGAGGGGTCTGCATCTCCACCAGAGGTCTGGTGGAGCTTTGTCACCATGCTGGTTTATAGTGGGCTTGTGCAGTCATGCAGGTGCAAAAAATATATATTATTATATTGATTGATTGAATTTAGATACTGCCCTATACCCTGAGGTCTCAGGGCAGTTCACAGAATAATTCAGTATGCACCTGGATCATTTAATGATAAACAGTTGTGATCTTTTAAATAATAGTGCTTTGTGTATTTGTGTTTTTCAGTTGTTTGACACCACTGAATGTGGAAATGGGTATGTGGAACCAGGAGAAGATTGTGATTGTGGTTTCCAAACGGTACCATTTTTTATACACATATACCCAGTTATTTTATTCTTCCTATCCATAAGATGAAGTGTCCCTTAAAATGAAAGCTCAGATAATGCTTGCTTAACCATGAGGCTCATGGTGTATATTTTAACTACTGTAGCAAAATAATTGAGTCAGTGGACCCTTATAAAAAGGAAATCATTCTTTCAGTGAGAAATCCATAAAAGAATTTTTAAGCTCCATGTTGTTTAAAGCCTTGAGTTGTTCACCTTAATCGGACCATTGAATCCAGAATCCTAAATAAAACGTATGCGTTAAAGTTAATTATTATAGTTATTTTCTTCTTTATTCTTACTTTAGTATATAAGATTCCTTGCACTGGATCGCGGCGTAGTTTTATGGCGCAGCCATATATGAACACTGTCAATTTATCATTTATCATGATTGAATTGTTTGTATGATTGTTTGAGGTAGCTAACTTTGATTTTTAGTATTGATTGATCAGAATGTGTTTTCCGCAGGATTGCAAAGCAGATCTGTGCTGTAAGAAATGCTCACTTTCTAATGGAGCTCATTGCAGTAATGGTCCATGTTGTAATGAAACCTCCTGTCTTGTGAGTTTGTTTGTTTTTTAACTTTTTTACCTTTGCTAGAAATACAGTGGTACCTCGCAAGACGAAATTAATTCGTTCCGCGAGTTTTTTCTTCTTGCAAGTTTTTTGTCTTGCGAAGCACGGTTTCCCATAGGAATGCATTGAAAATCAATCAATGCGTTCCTATGGAAACCGCTTTCAGACCAGGTCCGGGGACAGTCTGTCCCCCGACCTCTTCTGAAGGCTGGGGGGGGGGACAAGGGCTTTTCTTCCCACCGCCAGCCTTCAGAAGGCTGTTCTGAAGGCTGGCGGCGGGAAGAAAAGCCCTTCTCCCCACCTCCCGCCCCGCAAGCTCCGGGGACAGGAGGGCTTTGCTGCCGACCGCCAGCATTTTAAAAGCCCCCGGGGCGATTTTAAAATGCTGGCGGGCGGCACCGAAGCCTCCGCTGTCCCGGGGCGATTTTAAAATGCTGGCGGGCGGCAGCGAAGCCTCCACTGTACCGGGGCGATTTTAAAATGCTGGCGGGCGGCAGCGAAGCCTCCGCTGTCCCGGGGCGATTTTAAAATGCTGGTGGGCGGCAGCGAAGCCTCCGCTGTCCCGGGGCGATTTTAAAATGCTGGCGGGTGGCAGCGAAGGCTTCGCTGCCGCCCTCCAGCATTTTAAGATCGCCCCGGGACAGCAGAGAAGTCTCCGCTGTCCCGGGAAGGGAGGCGGTCGGGAGCAAAGACTTTTGTCCCCCGCCGGCCTTCAGAAGAGGTCCAGGACCTCTTCTGAAGGCCGGCGGTGGGCGAAAGTCTTTGTTCCCGACCGCCAGCATTTTAAAAGAGGTCCCCGGAGATTTCCCTATGGGCTTGCTTCTTGCGAAGCAAGCCCATAGGGAAATTCGTCTGGCGAAGCACATCGCACATGGAAAACCCTTTCGTCTAGCGGGTTTTCCGTCTTGCGAGGCATTCGTCTTATGAGGTACCACTGTATGGGCTAACCCGCCCTCTCTGTGTGCTGCAAATGGCTGAAGCTAATTTAAGAGACTTTTAATGGGGCTCAGTAGCTGATACCATGATAAAACATCAGTATACAGTGAATTGATAACTACATATCATAAGCAATGATAGTGCAGCACCTGATAAATTATGTTTACAATGTTCTCTCAAAGCTCTTTACATTGGACACCTCTGTTGTATAAAAGTATACACTGATAGAATACTACAAATGCTCTTATTCTGCTTTCCTGTTCTTTGTTATTAGTAACACAAAAAACATTAATTGCTCTTCTCCTGGTTTCAAGATACAGAGGGAAGAGAAAGCTGAGTGTAGTCAGATGTGCATTCTGGACTTTAAGAACGCCAAAAAGCTTAAAAGTGAGATTCCATGGTCAGAAATACTCAAAGAGAAGGGAGTCCAAGATGGATGGGAGTTTCTTAAAAGTGGAATTTCGAAGGCCCAAATGCGGACAGTTCCAACAAGAAAGAAAAGTGGGAGGCATCTAAAGAAACCAGTGTGGCCGCATAAGGAGCTTAGAGATACGAGCTGAGACTTAAGAAGGGCATTATTAGAAATGGAAGAAAGGGGAAATCACAAAGGAGGAGTATACACAAATAGTCACCAGTTGCAGGCTGTCAGGTGGGCCAAAGCTCATAATGAGCTCAGCCTTGCAAGAGAGGTTAAAAATAATAATAAAGGTTGATTCAGCTATGTTCGGAGCAAGAGGAAGAACAAGTGGTAGGTAGTCTGCGTGGAGAAGGCGAAGAAATGCTATTGGGTGACAGAGAGAAGGCAGAATGAAAAATGACTCCTCCAAGTCCACCCCCTGTCTATTCCTCCTCTGGGGGATGGCAGGAATCACTCCGGGCACTGTACCTGTCACAGCCACTCAGGCCCAGGATCAGTGTCTGAGATGAGAGCATAGAATCGATTTTTGCAGCTCCAATGACACAGCGCTGCTTCCTGACAGTCCTATTTCTGTGATTCACAGGGAATGTCTCTTGCAATGGGCCCTCTGTGTGTCTCTTGCAATGGGCGATCTTTCTCCTAGGGGCACCCCTCCTGTGTTGCTGATCCAGCACAGTCCACTCAGCTCTATTGAGAAACTCTGCATCTTGTCCAGTGGTTTGAAGTGTGGCTAAGCAGCCCTCAAGCTACTGTACCTTCTCTTCCATCAAGACAGCCAGTTTGCCCTTGCTACAAGTGTACTTTTGCACGTTCTCCAGCAGGAAGACAAACATGGCAGCTCTCTCAGCCTCCATGTCTTTTGGTCTTGTGCACACTATGAGACAGTACTCTGCCCGCCCCGCCCCCCAAAACTCTCTGCTAAATGCCCTCGCAAACACCCCCGTTCACGAGCTCCTGGTCGTGAAGTCCCAGCAGCTGCAATGAGCTAAGTCTAACTGTTGCTGGCTCCTAAACTGCCCCTGACTTCTTTACACAGCCACAGAGGCTATCACTGAGAGCAGAGGAGTGATGCCGAGAGGGGCTGCTTAATCTCTTCCTTTCTTGTCACTTTTCCAGTCAAAATCAACACCTCTCTCCCCCCCAACTACCCTGAATCAATTTGCCTTCTCACCAGTGGGGTAAAAAACACATTCCTGTATTTAATCATTATTCCGTACCCATTAAAGAAAAGCTATGCATGCTTGGAGTAATTTTTATTTAAGCCATCTTAGTTATCAATAAAAAAAATCTTCTGACTTCCAGTTCTTTCCCCGAGGCTTCGTATGTCGCTCTCCAGTGAATGAGTGTGATATTACAGAGATCTGTCCTGGGGACTCTGGCCAGGTAATTAAGTTAGATGCTTTCCATACTACCTTGTAAAACAATGAAACCGTTATTATTATTACTTTCATGATGACTGTAAGATTCTTTCAGCGAGAGGGAGATGTGGAGAAGATTAATTTATTATTATCTAATTTATTATTGTGCATTCCTAAAACCTAGCCTGAATTGTGTTTTCCTAAAAGGAAACTCAGGCATCTTTGTACATCTTTGCTCGTGTGTGCATGCCGCAGTGGATTATCAAGTGAAGAAATGTCAGGGCAATTAATTGTAAGAGAATTAATCAATTAAAGATGCACAGACATGCTTACCCCATTTTTCGCTGATGTAACAGGTATTATTTTAAAAGAGGCATTCATTTTTGTGCGAAAGAGAGGGCAGATGCTCCAAAAGTGATATGTGCAGTTTTATAGTTTGTACTCATGCTAAAGATAATTAAGCATTTTAAAAATCTGCTGCCAAGTTAATCATGGGTGTCTTTTCAATCCATTTAATCTAACCAATTAAGCAACCAAATGTTGCAGCCAACCTCAGTATTCATAACATTTTGTTTAATTGCTCTCTCTTGGTATTCTTTTGTCTGCCTATATACCAAATGTGTTGTCTTATAATTCAAACCTTTTTAATTAAATGATCCCTTTCATCCTTCAGTGCCCACCAAATCTTCATAAGCAAGACGGGTTTGCTTGTGATGCAAATCAGGTAAGTAAGTCTTTAAAATATATAGTACAGAATATTTATTTTTTGCCAGGCTATATTCTTTATCTCTTGGTCTTTTTATTTGCCATTTGCTTCATTTATTGTTTTTATGTTGTCTTAATTGTTGTGAGGCTTCTAGCCACTTCATTTTTTTTTTAAAGGGAAGTTTGTAATGTTTGATGTTTTGCTGTGTTTGCTGTTTTAATTTATTGCAAGCCAGCCAGAGTGGCAGGGGCAACCCAGTCAGATGGGTGGTATAGAAATAAATTATTATTTTCATTATTAAAGAAGAAAACTCAAACTACAAAGCCTTTAGATAAAGAGTGCACGTAAAATTCATGCCGTTCATTAACTCGTCCTGTTCATTTTCTTAATGGTTGCCCCTGATGGCTAAGTTGTGAGATGGAGCTGACTCCCTAAAAATTATTTTGACCCCTCAGTACCCCTAACGATTGGGCAATTTAAAATAAAAAGAAAACTTCTGCTGGGGGTGTTGCTGTTGTGGTGTTGTGACGTCTCTGCTGTAGAGCTATTATGAAGGGCCTTCTAAAACTCAGCCACCTTGCACTTTTGCCACCTTGTGAAGTCCTCCACTAACCGTCTCCCTCAGTTGTGGTGCCACTGCAAGGTTTTGTGGCTCAGAAAACAGGAAGGAGCACTCCTCTCTGTTTCCTGATCCCCAGTACCATTTTGCCAGGCTCCAAGGCACAGGGAGAAGAGGCTGCTTTGCAAGGTGAGTGGGAGGGCTTTTCTCTGGGATAGAAAGCAGAAATGTAGGGGGGCAGACTGTCTTGAGTGTGTGCATTGCCAATCTCTCTGTGCGTGTCTGCCCCCCTGCCTGTGCGTATGTTTCTGAATGAGTGTGTTCTGTATGAGTGTACAAGGCAGTGTGCGTTGGCCAGTTTTGCAATGCCCACAGCTGACCTATGGGCCTTAAAGAGTTGGACAATCCTGAGCACGTGGCTCTTGGGCTGAAACAGTTTGGCCACCCCTGCAATAGTATTATCCAGCGCTCAGCCTGCATATATACTGTATTTTTCGCTCTATAAGACGCACATTTTCCCCTCCAAAAATTAAGGGGAATGTGTGTGCATCTTATGGAGTGAATGCAGGCTCTTTGGCTTCAGCGATAGCAACGCGAAGCCTCCGAAGCGCAGTGGGAGCGCTCCCGCCATGCTCCGGAGGCTTTGCGTTGCTTTCGCTGAAGCCTGGAGAGCGAGAGGGGCCGGAGGCTTCAGGTTCCTTTCGCTGAAGGGTAGGTGCCCCTTCAGCTAAGGCGCAGTGCCCCTTCAGCTAAGCAGGAGGAGAAATGGAAAGGGCTCTGTTTCTCCTGCCGCTTCGCTGAAGGGGCGCTGCGCAGAGAGGGGAAGAATTTTTTTTCTTGTTCTCCCCCTCTAAAACAAGGTGGGTCCTATGGTCAGGTGCATCCTATAGAGCGAAAAATACGGTAACCCACCCTCAGCATTTAAGGAATCAGATTCTAACCTGCACTCAGTGTCTTCTAGGTGTGCTTCATTACGTCTGGAATGATCTCTCTCGCAACATTCTCTCCCTGCCCTTCGAATCCCTCATATCTTATAAATGTTAGACAATAGCAACATGACAATTCTGAGGTTGTTGGATACTTGTATCTGTGCAGCATCTGTCAATGCGGAAACAATCCAATTTTTCGCATGTTAAGATTTTATAGTGCTGTGGGTTAAACCACAGAGCCTAGGACTTGCCGCTCAGAAGGTTGGCGATTCGAATCCCTGTGACGGGATGAGCTCCCATTGCTCGGTCCCTGCTCCTGCCAGCCTAGCAGTTCGAAAGCACATCAAAGTTAAAGTAGATAAATAGGTACCGCTCCAGCGGGAAGGTAAAGGGCATTTCCGTGCGCTGCTCTGGTTCGCCAGAAAGCGGCTTAGTCATGCTGGCCACATGACCTGGAAGCTGTCTGCAGACAAACGCCAGCTCCCTCGGCCAATAAAGCGAGATGAGCGTCGCAACCCCAGAGTCAGTCACGACTGGACCTAATGGTCAGGGGTCCCTTTACCCTTTACCTTACTATGAAGAAGCGGTTCTCCCACTGGGAACCATCAAATTGTAGGGTTTGGAAGAACCCTGGGGGGCATCCCGTCTCAGCCCACTGCAATGCAGGAATCTCCTACATGCAATACGGAGCAGTATTAATTTACGTTTCCTAAAGAGTCTGACCCGGGAAACTGCTCCGAGCATTCCCTTTGGTAACAAAGCAGTGTTGAAAAAGGAAGAAAAAATATGTCTGTTGCTGATAAAATAGATCAGCTTTTTCTTGTCCCTGTCTGAAAGACAAAATGTATATTAATTGCGGTTTGTTTCTATTTAGGGTCGTTGCTACAATGGAGAATGCAAGACGAGAGATAATCAGTGCAAATACATCTGGGGAACGAGTAGGTTGATTTAAGTATGCTGTATTCAGATGCATTTTTCTTGTTTGTGCTGCCTGCTTTTCCCTTTGGTATAATTTTTCAATTAAAATTGTGCTTTTCAGTAATAAAAGGTAATGTTCAGAAAAGTAATTTTTGTAGTTTTTAATACACATGCATACACACATGCACACACACACACACACACACACACACACACTTCTTGTTGTTTAGTCGTGTCCACCTCTTTGTGACCCCATGGACCAGAGCACGCCAGGCACTTCTGTCTTCCACTGCCTCCCGCAGTTTGGTCAAACTCATGTTAGTAGCTTTGAGAACACTGTCCAACCATCTCGTCCTCTGTCGTCCCCTTCTCCTTGTGTCCTCAATCTTTCCCAACACCAGGGCCTTTTCCAGGGAGTCTTCTCTTCTTATGAGGTGGCCAAAGTATTGGAGCCTAAGCTTCAGGATCTGTCCTTCCTTTCCTCTATTTAAGTTTTCTTAGGACAGAAAGGCCTGTCCATCTTCTAGAGCCATCATGGTACTTATGGCCACATTCCATATATATGAGAGACAGGCCTTTCCTGTCCTAAGAAAAGTTAAATAGAGGGAAGTCTGCTGCCTCCTCCTTTCTCTGGAGTCCTCTCAAAAGCCACTCGAGAGCCAGCGTGGTGTAGTGGTTAAGAGCAGTGGACTTGTAATCTGGGGAACCGGGTACGCGTCTCCACTCCTCCACATGCAGCTGCTGGGTGACCTTGGGCCAGTCACGCTTCTCTGAAGTCTCTCAGCCCCACTCACCTCACAGAGTGTTTGTTGTGGGGGAGGAAGGGAAAGGAGAATGTTAGCCGCTTTGAGACTCCTTCGGGTAGTGATAAAGCGGGATATCAAATCCAAACTCTTCTTCTTCTTCTGTTTGGAGCCAAGAGACCCACCTGAATAATGTTGGGTGCAGTACCTGGACTGTTAGCAGGAGAAGACAGTAGGAAAAAGTTTCCCTTCATAAACTTCCTCAAATAATCTTAGGCTCTAAACCCAATTTTTTGTGATTCTCCACTTCTGCAGCAGCCCTGTGTCCCATTCTACATTTTTCAGGAAGCTCCCTTGACCTTCTTCCACCTGAGAAGCTTTTCTTGGAGTAAGGAAAAGGGGAAATTTTATTTCTGTAACTTTCTTAACTTAACCTTAGGATCTTTCTTCTTACTTATTTTTCACAATGTAATTTAATAAACTTTCAATGTACCGTCACTATGCATCACATGCTTTCCACTATGTAGTGGTAAAAAAATAACCTCCCAAGTTCCTGGTGCATGTATTTTTTATTTTTTTAATCAAGTACGTGATTCAGAAAGCGATTTTCAGACACACACATTACGTTTGTAACATGCAAAGCATTTAGGACATTCACCTTTAAAAAGTAATGCTAGCAACCTCAGCAGTTCCTATTCTCTTGGCTACTTTTTAACAGGAGAGCATTTTGCTTGCCTGGGTATGTTAGTAGAAATTACTTTCACTTTTTCTTCCATAGAGGCTTCAGGATCTCATAAACACTGTTACGAGAAGCTAAACACAGAAGGCACGAAAAAGGGAAACTGTGGAAAGGATGGAGAGAAATGGATTCCATGCAACAAGCAGTAAGTTTAACCTTTTAGAATGAATATAAACGTCGTGGTTAGAAATTCCAATTAATGTTTTGTTTTTCTGAAATAAGAAACCTGCCTGAGTTCCTTTAGGAGGAAGGGTGAGATATAAGTTCAATAAATATGCAATAAAAGTTTCTGTAGAGAATTTAAACACATTTAGGATACAAGGCACTGTCTGTTGTGCTCAGCAGGGTCCTGAATTTCATAGCCCATTTGCAGAGCTCATTTTGTCTTTTAGTTATTTTCATTGCTTAGAAACACTTTGACCTGCTGATTTGTAGTGCTTTGTGTCACCACTCTCTACTATGCTGTGATCTCTTTTTAAAATTATTTTACCTTATGTAATCTGAATAGATGCATATTCCATAAAGGGTGGAGAATAGGATCTGGCTGGTGAGTCGGGTCCTCAGCTAACCCACTATCTACAGGCCACTTTGGCAGGTAGGCAGGGTAACCCACCTGTCAGTGGTCCAACAACACCATAACATCAGGTGGCCCAGCTTCAAATGAAATATTTTTTTCATTTCTTTGCAGCTTGGCTTAGGCTCAAGGGGTTACTGCAAAGGAAGGTTCCTTCAGCCTATATCAGTGGGGATTACAGTCAGTGCCCATCAGCCGATTTCCCCCTTGTTTTTGGCAGGGATCTGTTTCACTCGAGTTCCTGACCAAGAACTTTATAAAGTGTAGTCTGTCCCACTGACCATTGGCTGATCAGTCCTGATTGCAATCTCAGCTTCAGCAGGATTCAAGTGCACTTGGGAACAATTTCCATTTTACAAAATAGGTCGTTAATGTAGTATGTTTTTATTTTATTTTACAGTGATGTGTTCTGTGGGTTATTGCTTTGTGCAAATCTTGATGGAGTTCCACGAATTGGTCACCTTCAGGGAGAAATCATCCCAACTTCTTTTTTCCACCAAGGTGTAGTAGTGAATTGCAGGTGAGTAGTGTCATATACAAGGTGTATTAATGCATTTTTAGCACTTTCAGCTGAATAATTAAGGTATATTTTGGAAGTTAACTTTTCAAGAACTAAAACCAAAGTTTTGTTTCCTAAGACTTAAGTTTAGTTTACATTTCTGTAGTACGTGTCCCAAACATTCTATTTTAAGTATCGGTATCATTGCCTTCTAGACACCAATATTTAATATCAATGTTTCTAAAACTTACCTGCTTTTGTTCTTGCTGCCTCATTGAAATAATTCAAAGTTTTACTATTGACTTCAGTGTAGTCAATATAGTACTTGCTTCTCAGAGTATTTTGAGATCCGTGAGCTTACTTTATACATTTGCTTACTTTATAAACTTTTCAGTCATGCTAAGAGCTTAAAAAAACTTCTTCCAGTTGTGCCCACGTACTTCTAGATGATGATACAGATTTAGGATATGTTGAAGATGGAGCTCCGTGTGGTCCTCAGATGATGTGTATGGACAGAAGGTGTCTGTCTATCCAGTCTCTGAATATAAGCAGCTGCCCTATTGGTGCTAATGGAAAAGTTTGTTCTGGACATGGGGTAAGTCCCAACTAAGTTTTGCCCACTTTCTCTTCAGATTTCTGGTTTCTCTCCAGATCGTATAAATCTTTTGCCATTTTGTAGTGTTTCTCACCATTAACCTGTATGTGTCTTCACACTGGACACTGAGAAAGCGATATTGCTCTTTCCTCTCAGTACTTCTGTTTACCTTCAAAAATGCTGGCTGATATTCCAGCAGGTGCGTTCTATGAACTGGGTTGTTTTTTCCAGTTGTGCCTAGAGCAGAACAACTTGCTGGAGATCTGGAAAATAAAGGCCACAATTTCAATTTCATTTAAGAGGTGAGTGCTGCTGGATTAGGCCTTTCTCATTCAGCTGTCTCTTGTCAGTAACTAACCAGCTGCCTACAGGAAGCTTTCAGTCTGCAAATGAGCACAATAGCACTCTCTCACTCACGTTCCCCAGCGTACAGTATTCAGAAGCAAACAGCCTTTGATACTGGAGGTACAACATAGCCATGATGACTAATAGACAATGATTGATGTATCATCTATGAATTTGTCTAATCCTCTTTTAAAATGGATGGCTCTCACCACTCTTCCTCATCCAGCCAGTCCCTGACGCATTTTGGACTGCTTCAACTGGATCTGTTTGCAACTCCTTCCAACACTCAACTTCTCCAGGTCTTCTCTCATTTCCAGATGAGAGTGGTGAATGCGAGTCCTTGGCCAAGAGTCTCCTTTATGCCTTGATGGGCCATGTTGGCCCTGGTTTTTAGACCTACTCAGGCTCTCAACGGAGCCACCATGACCGCTTCCTCTTTGCTTGGGTTTGCTGATCCAGCGTCCCGTGTGATATCTGGATCTGAAGGGGGTGAATGTAGAAGAATGGTGTTTGAGCAGCAGTGCCTGAAGCACAGGTTATTGATACCTTCATGGCATCCTGCATTCTTCCACAAAACAGATCAAAGTACCTGAAAGGCTTTCATTGCCTTGTGTGCCTCAAAGATGATTTTAGCTTCTTCTGTGTGCATTCGGCAGGTACATTATAACTTTCAGGACATTGTGCTACCATCCTTTTGTCCCAATCCAGTCCACCCTCTTGAGAAAGTTTGGCATTGGATGTTTGATAGGCACTTGAGAAATGCTTGAATCAGGGGTGTAGCTAGCTGCTCCAGCACCCGCAGCAGCGGGGGCCGGGCGATCTGCCCACAGAGGCAGGGTGGCGATCCGTCCAGGGGGGCACCGCAGCAAGCTGCCCACTGAATCTAACTGGCGGACACAAGCCCCACGCTGCCATTTTGGGCAGCGCACGTCCCGAGGCACTGCGTCACTCCCAGGAGAGACGCATGGCTCAGGCACGCTGTGGTGCTGCCCCTCATGGTGTGCCATTTTGTCACCCCATTAGGGATGACACCCAGGGCGGACCGCACCCTCCGCACCCCCCTTCCTACACCCCTGGCTTGAATTGTACAAAGGACTTCCAGCAGTCAGAGTGTTTGCATCTCTCTATCCATGAACTCCAAGAAATAAGTTTTCATTCTCCACTCTGGCCAGTTGACTGTGGCTTTGCCTGCTTTAAGTGACTCACTTAAACTGCTGGTGCAGTCTAATATCACAGCAGTCTCAGGCCACTCTGCTTTCACTGTGGTTGCCTTTGCACCTAATGCTTCTGTTTTGGACATTTGCAGAGATGCAGCTTGATCTTCTCCAAGCGCCTTTGTTTCTTCATCTGCTGGTGCTTCTTTTAGGAGATGTCTTCATCTGCTGGTGCTTCTTTTAGGAGATGTGTGTTGCAGCAGGTGGTTCCACAGAGCTGCACGTGCTTTTCTTCACCTATGCTTATCTTGGGACTGCTTGAGTATATTCCATCTGATGGACAGACACCATAGAAAATGGTCCATTGTATTCACCTGAAAGGTGTCTGCCCCCATGTTCCAGTTACAGATAGGTAGCCGTGTTGGTCTGCCATAGTCAAAACAAAAAAAATTCCTTCCAGTAGCACCTTAAAGTCCAACTAAGTTAGTTCTTGGTATGAGCTTTCGTGTATCTGAAGAAGTGTGCATGCACACGAAAGCTCATACCAAGAACTAACTTAGTTGGTCTTTAAGGTGCTACTGGAAGGAATTTTTTTTGTTTTGCCCCCATGTTCTTCATTCTTTCTTCTCTGTCCTCAACTCTGTTGCATTTCCTGCCTTTGGGCATGAGGTGGCAGCATAGCCCATCCCATGGGCATATGTCCATGAAAACCATCTTTCAGGTGACTACAACAGACTGTTCTCTAACAGAGGAAATCCTATACCTAGTAGAGTGTTCCAGAGGTTAAGCACATGGGAGATTGCAAAGATCCCCGAGGTTGGCAAACTTCTGATCCCCTTCTGACCCCCTCTAGCCAAATGGTGAAGCTTTACTTAAGAGTAATATGATAATAATAATATTTTATTATTTAAACCCCGCCCATCTGGCTGAGTTTCCCTGGCCACTCTGGGCGGCTCCCAATCAAGTGTTAAAAACAGAACAGCATTAAATATTAAAAACGTCCCTGAACACGGCTGCCCTCAGATGTCTTTTAAAGATAGGATAGCTGCTTATTTCTTTTACATCTGAAGGGAGGGTGTTCCACAGGGTGGGCGCCACTACCGAGAAGGCCCTCTGTCTGGTTCCCTGTAACCTCACTTCTCACAATGAGGGAACGGCCAGAAGGCCCTCGGCGCTGGATCTCAGTGTCCGGGCTGAACGATGGGAGTGGAGACGCTCCTTCAGGTATACAGGACCGAGGCCATTTAGGGCTTTAAAGGTCAGCACCAACATTTTGAATTGTGCTCGGAAACGTACTGGGAGCCATTGCAGATCTCTCAGGACCAGTGTTATGTGGTCCCGGCAGCCACTCCCAGTCACCAGTCTAGCTGCCGTGTTCTGGATTAATTGCAGTTTCCGGGTCACCTTCAAAGGTAGCCCCACGTAGAGCGCGTTGCAGTAGTCCAAGCGGGAGATAACTAGAGCATGCACCACTCTGGTGAGACAGTCCGCGGGCAGATAGGGTCTCAACCTGCATACCAGGTGGAGCTGGTAGACAGCCGCCCTGGACACAGAATTAACCTGCACCTCCATGGACAGCTGTGAGTCCAAAATGACTCCCAGGCTGCGCACCTGGTCCTTCAGGGGCACAGTTACCCCATTCAGGACCAGGGAATCCCCCACACCCGCCCGACCCCTGTCTCCCCAAAACAGTACTTCTGTCTTGTCAGGATTCAACCTCAATCTGTTAGCCGCCATCCATCCTCCAACCGAAGGAAGGGAAGTCCCAACGGTAGTCTGGATGTCTCCTGCATCCCACCCAGGGAATGGAACAAGGGTCGCTTTCTGTAAAGGCTCCTTCTGCTGGGTGTGCAGAACGCATCCAGCCTCACCCATTTCCTTTGGGCATCTGTAACACATTTATGTAGAAGTCTGTACCGTCGTTTTCTGCACATTTTGACGTGACAGGTTTGTGTCATGTGTATGCGCCTTTGTTCCTTTGCCTCCGCTAATGCTCTCTCTTGCTTGCTCATGAGACTGGAACTAGGGAGGAGCTGGCTGCTTTGTCAGAGTTTGATCATGTGTCACTATTTGTTCTGGACAGTGGGAGTTGGGGGGGGGAGTTAACCCACTGTAGCCTCCAGCCAAAGGAGCCTTCACAGCAAGTGACCAATGTTTCAGTTTCCGTTTATGCTGAAATGCAGCAATAGCGTGTGAGTGCTTCAAAGCACATACTGAACCAGCCTCTGCACAAAACTCTTTTTACATTAGTGAACATGCTTAAAGGAATGTGTATGCAGATCAAGTTCTCCTGCGGTCAGTAGAGCAGCATGCAGATCTGAGAGCATCTTTTTTTTCTAGTTCTAAAGTATAAATGGTAAAGGTAAAGGGACCCCTGACCATTAGGTCCAGTCGTGACCGACTCTGGGGTTGCGGCGCTCATCTCGCTTTATTGGCCGAGGGAGCCGGCGTACAGCTTCCGGGTCATGTGGCCAGCATGACTAAGCCGCTTCTGGCGAACCAGAGAAGCGCACGGAAACACCGTTTACCTTCCCGCCAGAGCAGTACCTATTTATCTACTTGCACCTCGTGCTTTCGAACTGCTAGGTTGGCAGGAGCAGGGACCGAGCAACGGGAGCTCACCCCGTTGCAGGGATTCGAACCGCCGACCTTCTGATTGGCAAGTCCTAGGCTCTGTGGTTTAACCCACAGCGCCACCCACATCCCCAAAAAAAATTTAAATGTATAAATGGATAGTATAAATGGATTTCCCCCTAAATAGGACTACTTACTCTACCTAGGAACTTTAACAGATGAACCAAGCATATGATTATTTTTTATTATGTGGTAACACAATTTTTCTTTCAGGTATGCAGCAATGAAGCCACCTGCATTTGTAACTATACCTGGGCAGGGACAGATTGTAGCATGCATGACCCCAAAAGGAAAGAAGAAGCAGAGAAACCAAATGGACCAAAGGGTTTGTGTAATTTCAGTTTTTCTTCCCACCCCCAACTCTTCTATAATTACATTTTTGAGCAGGAAAATTTGGAGCAAAGTGCCCATGTACAATGCAGGTGTGTGTGTGTGTGTGTGTGTGTGTGTGTGTGTGTGTGTTTCTAGGTAAATAGCATTTATGCTAGGTATGCTACGTGAAAAGCATTTATGCTTTTACCTGTAGCGTTCCAGAGGTGCTCACAGAAAATCATTACCTACCGTGAAAACCTTTTAGCTGTTGCCTTTTCTGTTTAACGACATAGATCTAGGTAATATATTCTATTTGAAACCCATTGATAATCTTATATCCCAGTATGGCAAGGGGTTTGTTTGTTGGTTATTTCTATTTTTGATATATTATAAACATGAGAAGAACGCTTCAATCCTTTACTAAATACAAATCTCTATTAGAGTTAAGTTTGGTATGGAGGAGGCTTACATTCTTAGGGGACATCAAATGCCATTTACCACACAATCTTGCGCATGTCTATTGAGAATTAAGTCCTGTTTAGTACTGTGGGGACTTAGCAGGAGTAGCAAACAAAGTTCCAGTTCTGTTTCACGACAGCTTCCACCATCCCTTGCCATTGGTCATAGTGGCTGGGGCTGATGGGAGCTGGGAGGGCCACCCCTTTGCCGCCTTAAATGTTTTGTCCAGTTATGCTATGGAGTCCCTTCTTTCATATGACTTCCTGAAAGTTTTTTGTAGACTATATTGCTGAAGAAAAGTAACAAAAGCATCAAGAAATATTCCAAATGTAAATTATTCTTAATTTTTTTGCATGCTGAAATAGTTCTTTGTTTTATTGCTTAGCAGGCTTTAAAGTTTGGGGGTTTTTAAAAAGCCCCTTGAATCTATTAACCATAGCATCCCTAAAACCCAGTATTAAAAAGTGAACCAGCCGTAGCTTGACTTTTTTTGGGAAATTGGTTTTAAATTTTCTCATTGTCAGTGCACCCTGTTACATTTCCCATCTTTTAACCTCTAGAATTTGGCAGGCCGTTTTTTATTTACAATATAGCCCAGAATAGAGAAGCTACTGTTTTTCAATGTATGGATATTTTTCCTGGGTTGTGTTTGTTCGTTGTTGTGAGTATTTTGAAAATCTGTATTAGTACTTGAAGTTGATTAAAGTATGGTAGATACACCACTGCATGCAGAATTTACAGTGCATGCATTTAATAATAACATTATCATTTTCTCTTAACCAAAGGAATAAATGTTGGATCCTAGTGGTAATTCAGCATATTAAACTTTTAAAAGTTTTGTAAAATATTAAAGCAAAGTTTCCAGAGGAAGAAAGTTGGAAATAGTGCCTTGGTACCTCATTCAATTTGGGGAGTTGGCACCCCGTGATTACTGTAAATCTCTACACTGATCTTTTTCAAACGCCTCCTAATAGTGAGCCACAACATAGGAAGAAGGATAAGTTAAAGCTATCTCTTTGTCCAGTCTTACCACCTTCCTAAATGGATGGTCCAACAATGTAGAATGTGCAATCCCTAGGGATTCTGTTCTCTAGTGGGAGGGGCAGTTGCCATCTTCCAGTTTTATTCCTCCTTAGGATACCGTTGGCAGACTTTCAGTGAGCCATTCCTGCTATGAGGTGAGTCTTTATTTCCTGATTCCTGTTTCTAACCCTTTTAGAAATAATAATAATAAAAGAAATGGGTTGGAAAATGCTTTGGGAATGTGGAAGAAAGAAGGGCATTTGTAACTCGGAACACAAAATGAATCAAGATCCTAGATTCAGGTTAATCGAGACCTGATGGAGAGAGTGGAGGAGCCAGTCAGATTGAATGGGACCAATATGAGGAAGTGTGCTGTGTCGCGTTAGGAAGAGAATTAAAACCAGGGTCCAAAGAAGAGACATGTGCTGTGTACATCGCAGAGAATTGTGCATACAAGCCAGGACTTTGATTCTCAATTTCACCGTAGCGGTTCTCAATGCTGAAGAGCAGTTTGAAAGGCAGCTTTTATCTTTGGCAGTGGGGTGTGCTAATACATAATTGGGCAGCAAAACTCTGTTTGCATATCCATACTTGCTTGCATACTTTTCTTGTATCCCAGTGAAAAAAATTCCCAGTGATGGTCCATTATCTAAGGATCAAAATGCCCTAGATCTGAAAAGATAATCTGCTTTTGAGTTATACGCTGCAGCATTCCAGCATATGCCACTAATTTATTATTTTACTCCTTCATAGCCAACCAGTCACTTATTTAAAAGCATTCATGAAACAAAAATATTTTCTGAAAGAAGTAGGTTAGAAACTATGCTTAAGATTAAGGTGACAGGGATTCTGTTATGAGAACCTTAAACCTGTTTAGCTGTATTTGGGACATATGAATAGGTGAACATATAAAATTATCTTCTGAAATCAGAGTGCATTCAACATTCAGACAAAAATATCAAACTCTTTCATTACAAAAGATTTTTCGCTGCTCTCCCTATCTTTAAAATTGTGAGCATTCAGCAAAACCTAAACAAGATCTTCAAAGAAGTACTGTATCTGTTAAGTGTTTAACCATGTAAATCAGGAAAAAACCAGATTTGTAGGGTTTTTTAAAGATTTGTCTTATAATCTTATCAATTATAATATCATATATTTATGCATTTTTAATTATTACAGATGTTATATAAACCAGTAAGTTATGTTAAGATAATTGATTAACTTCTGTTCCTGATGCATAATTGCATTTCTGTCAGAACTTATCATCCATCAGTTGCTTTTTCATTTTTCTGTATTTCAGGATCTAAAATCAGTGTCAGTTTCAGATATAGATAAATACACTGAACTCTGAAATATATAATTAGCCAGAAGGTCTCTAATGGATTATAATAAAAGTTAAACTATTTTTCTTGAAAAGCTAATTTTCAGTGGGCTATGGTAACAATTTCAACTGTGAAATCAGGATAATTTGCCAACATTTTGTAATCAGATATCCATATTTCCCAAATTCATCTAAGAATAGAGCTTCTATCTAAAACACAATTTAAATTCAAAAAATCTTTTCCCTTCTAGTTGTTTCTGTACAAAACAAAATTACAAAACTACAAAATTAGGCATTAGAATGGAGGTCCCATGGTTTTTGTTCTAAATGGTAGTTCAGACACATCAAACCAACCCATTTGAACTTTAACATATGAGAGACAATGTTTTGTTCTTTCATGGAATGGCTTCCTATCTCTGTGAATGAAATAATCAGTACAAGTAATGAGTCACAGAGATAAAAACCAAAGCCTGAATAATGATTGCATTTGCTTGTTTGTTTTAAAGTCATGGTAGGTTTTTTAAAAACACAAAATGTTATGTGTAAACACAATGCATAAATTGAAATATACCGTATTTTTTTGCACCATAGGGCGCACCGGACCACAGGGCGCACCTAGTTTTTAGACGGGGAAATCAATAAAAAAAGCCATAGCCCCGTGCAGCCTCTCCCTGCCGGAGGGGTTGCGCGCAGCTATGGAACAAGCCTGCATTCGCTCCATAGGATGCACACACATTTCCCCTCAGTTTTTGGTGGGGGGAGACTGCGTCCAATGGAGCGAAAAGTACGGTACCTTCTTTCATTTCTAAGCGTGATAAAGATAGAAGGAATTTATTCAAAAAAAGAAATAAAGGTCAAGAAAAATTATAGGGTGGTGTCCAAATAACATCCATAAGGACTTGTGCATGGTCAGTGGAAGTTTTGACCTACACTACACACTAAATGGTTTTTGAACCTTTGGTCACTACTAAAAGATGATTGCATGCAACACAGGGGATGCTGCTAGAGTTCAAAGCATCGCTGACCCTAAAAACTAGTAATACAGTTCTTTAATCCTGGCCCTACTTTTTCAAGAGTTGTTGTCCCCAAACAATTACATATTTGGGTGTTACGTAATAGACCAAAATGAAAAGAGAGGCCCAAAGTCATGCCACTAATCTTGGTATGCTAAAGAAGAATGACCGCTCCCCGCTTAAAACGGGGGGCGCCCTTTGCGTGGACGCGCGCAGCCCCTAGATCTGGAGCGGCTCCAACAGCATAGGCTTGGTTTGCCTTCCCTCAGGTGGGATACCTGGAGGTCTCCGCCTACCTCAGTCAGGAAAGATAAGAAATTTGATTTCATTTGTGCTGGATTCTGGAGACAGGAGAGGAAGGTAGAAAGCAGAGCTGAGACCTCCCTTCTCTTGAAGAATGAGCTAAATAGGTAATTAAGTGTCTTCAGACAAGTGCAACATCTATTAATTCCATTGTTTCCACTTGGAAATGTATTAAAAGTTAAAAATAAACCAGTGGTCTTTTTATTTGTAAAGCTTCATGAAGGTCTCTAACATTTCCTTGCTGTTCCCTGCAATCATAAGTAGGCCTTATAATGAAAAACGACAACATAGAAACCTTTAGAGAAAGTGGTAGCCATGAAGTTTATATGATGCACAAGTTTGGTACATCTTCCAGTAACATTGCTACTTGGATGCTGAATTCCCATAAAATTGGTCAAGATGCTTCGCCTTGCATAACGAAACGTAAGGTGCACCTGGAATCAAAGGACAAATTCGGCCCATCGTAAGAGAGCGCAAGGAATTTTCAGCCGTGTTTCTAAAACACTCATAAATGTAAACAATGCCTTTCTTGTGTGCTTGGCTTTATTGGTCAGTATGCAGTATACCTGTGATGTTACAAAATAGTTTCGTTATTTGTGAAGGTTTAAAAATCGTGTCCCCTTTTAAAATGGAAATGGGTACTGTATGCATAGGCTGAGAAAATCTTTATAAACTCTGGGAAGCCAAGGAGAGCGTTGCCATAGAGCTTTAGTGGCCTTTGGCGATACGCATATCAGCCGTTCATTCTTTACAACAGGAGACCCATGCACACACCTCCCATTTACAGTCTATCCCCCTCTTCCCCAGAATCCTGACCACTGGTTCTCAGAGCAAGTAACCCTACATGCCAGACCGTGTTAAGGAAAGGGATAGCTGCTTTAATATATATATACC